TTAATAAATATTTGTTGCCTTAATAAAAATACATTTTTTTTAAGGAAAAGGAGAACACATATCCTATCTTCAGTTCCCCCAACTCACTGTGGGACTTTGGATCAGTCACTTGATCTCTTTGGGCTTCAATTTCCTCATCTGAAAAATTGAGAGAACAGTATGTACCTTACACAGTTGTTGTGAGGTTAGGTAATGTACATAAAGCAGAGAAAACCCTCCCTAAATGTTAGTGAATAACAAAAGTATTTACTATAGTTACCATTTTAAAGCATTTGTTAGATTCACCTACCATATGATGAACACTTAATAGATGGATGGGACTCAAAACCACATCTGACTCTAATTCTGCCTCACTTTCTTCTTCCTTCACATCCCTACCCCTGTGACTGAAAATAACCTCCCCAATTTTAAAATATCAAATTAAATGTCACCAGATGAAACACTGCATTTTAAAAGCCATTTTTAATCCTTTACTGTACACAATCCAAGTCTTGGTAGCAGCATCTGACAGGGTAAATACCAACTCTTGTGCAAGGGTCTACTACACCCTCAACCCCCATGATTCTGGAACTGGTTCCCTAAATGAATGCAGGCTTCTTCAGCTTCGTCCAGAACAGACATGGTGATACTGATGAACCTTTGAGGTGGGCTACTGTCTTCTTTTCTGACATTTGATGGAGCAGGATTCATACCTGATTCCATCCAACTCAATAAATGTCAATGATGCCTTCCTATCTATTTCTGCTATCCAGGAACCCACCTCTTTAAAAGGAGCCAGGTGAAAGGCTCATGAAATGTAATACTAAGAAGTGGGAAGACAAAAAGGTTTGAAGAATTCTGCCAAAGGCAATGCTGTATGAAGATCTCCCCTGAATACACGTACCCCCTATTTTTGGATAATTCATTCCCAATTGAGTTTGCTCTTAATTAAGGGCACAGAGCAGAGTCTTTGAGTATCTCAACTCATAGCCCCAGTGCCTAGAACAGTGCCAGTGACTGGCACATAGCAGCGTTCAGCAAAGATCTGTTGAATTGATGGATGGACAGATGAATTAAAAAATAGGCTTCAAGAATGGGACTCAGGAAGCAGACTAAAACTCTGCCCTCATCCCTGGTGGCACTGGTTGTTCTCAGAAGGAAGAACTATAGAAATAGTACAAAATCTCACGTGCAGATGAATCAGTGCCCTCTGAAAGCTAAGCCTCCTCAGCAGCCACAAAATACCCAATGCAAAATTTCTTAAAATACAAAAAGCACAAACTAGAAAATTCAATAAATTGGACTTTAAATTAATACATTGGACATCAAAATTTAAAAAAAAAATTTTTTTTTTTTTTGAGACAGAGTCTCATTCTGTTGCCCTGGGTAGAGTGCAGTGGCGTCATCGTAGCTCACTGCAACCTGAAACTCCTAGGCTCAAGTGAGCCTCCTACCTCAGCCTCCCAAGTAGCTGGGACTACAGGTATGTACCACCACACTCAGCTAATTTTTTCTATTTTTGGTAGAGACAGGGTCTTGCTCTTGCTCAAACTGGTCTTGAACTCCCGACCTCAAGTGATCCTCCTGCCTCGGCCTCCCAGAGTGCTAGGATTACAGGTGTGAGCCACTGTACCTGGCCAATTTAAAACTTTTGCTCTTCAAAATGAAAAGGCATGCAACAGACTGGGAGAAAATGTATGCAACCGATATGTAACAGAGGACTTGTGTCTAGAATTAATAAAGAACTTTTACAACTTAAAGTTGTAAAACAATCCAATTTTAAAATGAGTAAAAGATGTGAACAAACAATTTAACAGTGAAGATATGAGGATAGCAAATAAGCACATGAAAAGATGATCAATATCACAGGTCATTAGAGAAAGGCATAATGAGCTACCACAAACCCAGTACACTCAGGAAAGACAGGGTGGCCAGCTGCCTACTGTAACTGCTGGTAAGGGCCCAAGCTCAGAAAGTCAGGCTCAGGGATCAGAGTACCTGTGTCTCCTTCCTTGGTGCCAATATTATTCTACTCCACTTAGGACTTTTATACTCTGATTCTTATGTTAGATAAGAAACATCACTGGATGAGAAGAACAACTGGATACAATCCTCTCACATGGGCCAAGATTAGAGTCAATCTCTTCTTCTAGACCATCAATTTCTACAAGGCAGAAAGAAGTTACTTTATACTGCAGCAAGACACAATATAAAACATTTAGGCTTTAAGGACAGAGGAGGCCCTGAGCTGTGATACTGGGAAAGTCATTCTGAGATTCATTTTCCTCATCTGTAAAAGTCAAAGTAGCTACGTAGAGCAGAAGCTGCTGTGAATGCTCTTATCTCCTTTTCTTGCTAGTACACATGACTAGACTTTCTAGTCCACATGACTCAGAGGGTTAAGTCCTTATTCATCTAAGCCACTCATGATCATCTTATTTGCTTTGCCAATGACAGAATAGGAGTGAGAAGATGACCCATTTCATAATAGTAAAGGCAAGATGAAGCCAGATCTGCCAGAGCTTCCAGGAAAAGACTTCTTTAGAAGGAAACACTGGGGAAAATTAGTCTCTCAGCTAGACATTGTTTTGTCAGCATTTCACTCCTGGAATTATGGTAGTCATATGCGGACCAGGAGGTGAACTAGCATGCAGATAAACTGACCGGGGACAGAAGTGCAAAAAGATGGCAAGAACCTGGTTCTTTGGTGTTATCATTGAGTCACTGAATTAACCAACCTTGGAGCCATATTAAATAAAGATTTCTTATCATGTGAAATGATAGTTTCCTTATTTAATCAGGACTTTGTAATATGCAACTGATAAACTATTTCACATGATTGCTGCAAAGATGAAATTACGTAACAGATACTGTACAAAACACCTACCCAAGCTCTTCGAAGTACCCAAGTAAGCCTGTCCTCCTTTTGCAGCTCATTCTCATTAACAAACCCACTGTTAATGAGAGGATCTCTCACTGCCTCTTTTAAGAGGAAAGTTCCCTGCCTTTGGAAGATAGGGAAGAGGAACTTTCTCACTAGAAAGGTTCCTCAGTATTACTTTATCCCCCAAAAAACAATTCATTGCCAAGAGGATGGTGGTGAAGCTGCTGAAGTCCAGAACAAGAGTACAGGATGTTCCTGCAGGGTAAGCCACAAAGGCCTAAAAAACCTTCCTAGAGAAGGCAGTTGTGATGCTTAAGTGGAAAACTTCTTAATGTACCTCATTACCCAGCAAATCCATTTCCCCAGCTCCTCCTCCTTGACACAACTGCTTTTAAGGAGTGCTTCTGTCATATGCTGTGTACTTTCTAAGCCTGCCAGCTTTCCTCAGCCTACCATCAGAGGAATAATGCCTGGAAAGCTAGAAACAAACAGAGAGAGCTTATTTTCCAATTCAATGTTACTTTCCATGTAAGCAGTATAGACAGCAGCTTGCGGATGTCCCAGGCTCAGAAATTCAAACTAGCCTTTCCTTTAACAACCAAATCCTAATTGCCATGATATTCTGGGGTCTGCTAAGCCAAGAGATACCCAACAAATATCCAGCTTTACTCTACCCCAAGACACCTGTTAGACAAGAATGAGCTACAGAACACTCTGCCTGTTGACAAAGCAGAGGGAAGGCTGCTCAACCAATGCTGAAAAGGTATGTCCAAGAGTATAGGACAAGTCTTCACTCAAAACCTTGAGCTCCAGGCCCAGACAATTCAAGCCCTGGGATTCTAGTCTTTTTCTTTAGAGTAGCAACCAAAAGCCAAACCCCGAAGCCTTTTCAACATCAATTTCTTCTAAAACTAAAGTTTAATCACTTCGGTACAGCACTCACCAGCCACGAAACCTTGCCCACAGCCGGCACTCATAGTCCGCATGATAGTTTGTGCTGTGCACCGATGACGAATCTGTTTTGCTCTTGTGTGATGAGGAAAGCTTTAAAGCACTGAAACTTAAGTTTTACTTTACTGACAGTTTTACTTGTAATGTAAATCAGAATAGGTAACATATACATATGTTTTCATATGTATACATATGTTTTCATTACATTATTTTTAAATGTTCACAATTTTATTTTGATAAATGAAAAATTAGAAAAGTCCTATCACAGCTATTGGCTAAAGTCGACGCCAGGCTGTGCGCCTTCATATCACGGCTATCAGCTAAGGTTGTTGTACGCGGTCATCTGTGGCTATCGACTATAGTCGATGCTGGTACCAAAGTGGTTAAAGCAAAATTTTGCCACAATGGTCATCCTCCTACTTTCCCTGCTAAATACATTATTTCTGTTTCACTCAGGGTCATAAATTTATTTTGTGTCTTTTTTTAACTGGGAAAAATCTACTCCATGTTCCAATTTGCTCAAGTTCAAACTCCCTAACCCTTGCTGCTGAAAAGGAGCATGAGGCTGGTTGGCTCTTTCCCAAGGGAATCTGGCAGGTGGTGGCCTCAGGTTAGCTCTGCAATTTGAAAAGTCACAACATGGCATCCAGAGGAATGCTAGGCCTATGTATGTACACAATGGATGCCACTGATTTCTCACTAGGCCCTCCAACAGAATCCCTCTCTGAGCCATCTTTCCTTAGTACACAGAAATAACAGTGCTCTAGCGGTACCAGAGAAGAATGCCAGAACTTACATGCTTGACAATTATTACCACCAGCTTTAGGTGGTAGAAACCATAGAACCTTCAACTTGCAGTGAGACTGAGAAAAGTTGATGATAATCTGGTTAAGATTTCTGCTTACCTGAAGACTCAGGAATGTGTAGTCCATCTTGTGTACTCAATGTCACTTCTTGATTCCCCCCACCAATCTGATACACCACAGATTACTAGTTCATTTTAATTCTACTCACAAAATCCCTTGATATATTGCTCTGGCCCTGAGATGACAAAAATGTATAAAATGTAGTTTCTGCTCCTAGGAGTTCACAGGCACTGGGAAGACAAGTAATGAAAATAAATACAAGCAAGCTACTAAGTGCTCTCTCATGTACTGGAACACTGTCTATAAAACTGGACAGGAACAAAATTAGGTTTTGTTTATTCTTTTACAATTATCTCCTAAGGACAGGAGAAAGCTGGAGGTAGTGGTGGTGGGTAATTGTGGTCCTAGTCTTAGCCTTATTTGAGTTTGTCTAATGCTCACTAGAAAATACTGGAGAATGACCTAAGCCAGTCATAGTTATAAGATCCCAAATAAGATATGGAGTAGGATGTTTAAATGAGAAAAAAAATACTCCCTTTCCACAGCAGTTTATGTTGTTAATCACTCTTCATGGATCCTCTCTCACTCTTGATTTTTCTCCCACCTTATTAAACCAGTCAAAAAAATATAAGGTATCTACTAGTGATTTGACCCTCACCTTAGGTTTTACTTTCTCTCCTCATGCCTTAAATTGAGTTTTGTAGGTTTATACACTATGTTTCTCTCCTTAACTAATTTTCTAAACTATCTTACTCATGCCTATGGCTTTAACTACCACCTATATCAGTATGACTCCCATATCTGTAACTGTGGTTTTGCAGTCTTACCTGAGCACCAAATCTGTTTACTGGAAACCTTACCCTCATTACCCTACAAGGACCTCAAAACAATCTACACAAGGCTAATTATCTTTCTTCACAAAACTCACTGCCTTCCTTCTCCTCCACCCCACCTCCATTTTGATTAGAAGAATGTGCCAATATACTCACATGCTCAAGCAGAAATTTGGGTATTAGCCTCTACTCCTCTCTTCCCTTCCCTTCCCATCAACCACTGAGTCCAACTATCTCATCTCTCAAATCTGCCCTTTCCTCTCTATAGTCATTGCTATAGTCTTGTTCCAGTCCCTCATTATCTTTGTCGTGTACCATGGGACTATTTGGTTAATCAGCTCCCCCACCAAACTTTAAGCTCCTTAAGAAGACACTGTTTTCCTCATTTTCGAACTGTTCCTGCCTTCTCTCCCACAATACTGCTGGCACAGTGCTTTGTATGTTTGTTGAATGAAGAATAAAGGGAGGCCTTGTGAAGTATTACTGCATAACAATCTACAGTATTATTCTAAGGTAAAGCCTATCAGAGATGTAATTAATCCCAAAAGTTTGTTTTGCTGGTAGGAAAAAAAGAGAGAGAGACTGCACTTTAGAAATAGAAGCCACTGTTGTCTTTATAAAACACAGAATTGTGCTGCTGATGCTGCTTGCTTCAGAAGGAACTGTACATTACAGCTGCTGGGATAATTTCACAATGGACTAGACAAGATACAGCTCAAAGCAGGACACAAACACAAGTCTCAAAGGGAAACAAATGCAAACAAGTACACAGCTGTGGGGTTCCAGGGACATTTCCCCATCCATGCTGGACTTGAGAGGGATAAAAAGTTTAGAAACTAAAGTGAAACCCAGAGTAGTCACACATGCCCACCACATGGCTGCTAAGTGCAACATCACACACCAATCAGGTTGGACCGTGTGTGCAGGAAAGTTATTTCATTTTTCCTTATTGCTACTACACCAGGGGACTCAGTGCATTGGACATACTATACTGTCTTAACTTGCAAAATTCTTGGAGGATTTCCTAGTTTCCTTTTTAAAGGAGGAAATAAGGAAATCTTCCTTCTCCACCTCATTCTGTTTGTTTTAGCCCAATCCTTCCACTCCCTTTCTTGGGCTCCCAAATAGCAGCCAGAGGTTCTAAGTCAATAGGAGTAGAGTAAGGGGAGAGCACCAACTCAGCCTCTCCCCCTGCCCAGGGAGAAGGCAAGTCCTAATAAGTGGGGGGAAAGAGAAAACCAGAGAATCCCTCCTCCCCAATCTGCTTAGAAGGCCAACTAGGAAAGAGTGCCTTGCATATTCCTGCCATGATCAGACTTTAAGAAGGAAGGCATCCCAGCTACCATCCTGAATTGGCCTAGGCCCAGTAAATAAATAAAAGTAACTCCCCCCAATGTAGTTTCCAAAACTGTCTTTTGGCTAGTTTGAGATGACCTTTCTACCCTGAAGGAGAAGAAACTTCCATCCTTTTTTGTTACACATGATGCCAGACCCAAAATATTGTCCCACCAGCCTTGCAGATATCCATGGGCCAGCTAATAAGCCAGTGTTCCCTTGGCTGCCCATCATGAGTGCTGGCCTCATTCACGGAATTTTGGACAGAAAAAGAAAAGTATCCAAAAACATTGCTACTTAGCCTAAGAGGAGCCCACAGAGAAGCTATCTAGCAAATGGGAAGTAGGAGATTTTTAGGAAGGTTTCATAATTTTAGGTACCTTCTTCTTCAGCCTTATTCTAAGCCTAAATTCCCAGCAAAAACAGCCCCAGGCTTATCCGTAGAGGCCAGCAATAGCACCTCAACCAAAATGGGTCAGATTGGACTGGGTAAACAAAGAGAACAGCTCTCCTTTCCTACCTTTCATCCAAATTTTCTCCATTTTCTCCTCACACTCTCTTCTTCCCCATGAATATGCCCTAATGCTCCAACCTTGGATACCCAAGTAGCTCAACCATAAGACAATCTCCAGAAAAGGGAATGGGGCACAGGCCGAGAGTAAAGGAAACAGATCTAGAAAAAGCAATGAGGGAAACCAGCTCCAAGGAGTGAACGGGAGTAGAAACTGCAAGAAGCCCTCCTGACTTCATGTCAGTTGAGCAGGCTTGCTGTTTTGTCTTAGTATAAGCTAGAGGGCAGTCCAGCCCAGGGTGGACACCTCAGTGCTTGGGGAACAGACTCATGGTCTTCTGCAGTCAAGGAGCAAAGCCTGACCTTGCCAGCTAACAGTGGGATCATTGTGGCCATGCGGAGATTTCATTATCACATAGGCACACAAGCAGGCCAGCAAGCAAAGTGCATATAAAAAGGAAAAGGAAGCCAGGGAAAGAGAGAAGAGGAAAAGGAAGGCAGAAAAGAGAAATAGAGGGAGAAAGAGACCTGTCTAAGAAGACGAGGCTGGGGTCTCCCCAGCGCTTCCCTGGAGCGTGGGTAGGAAGCACCACTTAGACCAAATCCACACAAGCCAAAGGCTGCCAATACCACTTCTCAATCTGCATGCACCACCTTTCAAGCAAGAATAATCCTCAAGGTCAGGGGTATTTTTCAAATTTCAAAAATTAAAAAAAAAAAAACAAAAAAAAATCAAAGAAGTCATTTTGTCTTGTCATTGCCCAAGCTGCTTCTCTCTTGCATTTATTTATTGAATGCCACATGCAATGCCACAGGGCTAAAAATGTATGTCAAGCCCCAGCTGAAAACTCAAGTGGAGAGAGTGAGGCAAAGAGAGAAAAAGAGAGAACACAAAGTTGCTGGGAGTAGTGGCTTCCACCTGCTCCCTATGGACATTTGCGAATGCTGGTGAATTACTGGACCTTCCAGGAATAGTGCCCTGATCCCAACCCCAAAATGTACCCAAGTAGAGAACATGCAGAGACCACTGTCCCAGGAGAGCTTCCCTCCCCAAAGGGTGACGGAACACGAAGTAGACTGTATGTGAAGGCAATGGACAGGGCAGATGGAGTGTTGGCATCACTCTCTTTAGGCACTTGTGTAAGGAATGTAGGCTCTCCAGTGAGCTGCCTCCTCCCAGAGCCCTCCACTCTGTTCTTCAGCTGGGCTTATGCCCACGGGGCACCCCATGCTGTAGCCAGCAGGAAAATGGTAAAGGAGGAGTTACTCAACAGTTCTGATGCTTTCTCCATAATGAATGTTTGTGCTATGGTTTGTGAAGTTACTAAACAACATGGCCTACCAGAACAGAACCTGGGATAGATTGTTTTGCATAGCAAATCTGGGTTATACAAGGGCTGCCAGGGAGAGGAAAGGGTAGCTCTAACTCCATAGGCCAGGATTCAGACCCTCCTTCCTCTGGCTGGCCTCCAAGCCTGGGATAGGTCTAAGCATCATGGCTTCATCACCAGATTGGGACAAACCCAAGCCAAGGCTCCTCAAAAAAAGGAAATCTCACACTGAAGTTGCAACTCCCCAGCCCAAGCAGTTGGGCAGGAAAAAAATTAACAGTCAAGGAAATAGGGGGCCATGCCTCAAGGCCAGCAGGGACCAAGCTAAAATCACCTCCTCCAGTCCTGCAAGACAGCCAAACCCTGTATCTCAAGACAAATAAAAAAGCCCATGCCACCCACTCACATGCCGTAGTGGGAAACCAGGAAAAATTCATTTGTGTAAACAGAAGCAATAGGGAGCAGCAAAATTCCTTAGCCTGTCCATAGGACACACTGCAATCTAGGATAAGCCAAAGGGTCAGAGGACAGTCCAGAGGAAAGGAAGATGCACTTGGAAGAAAGAATGCAGGACAGTACAGAGGAGAGAGGCTGTAGCAAGAAAAAGGTTATCATCTGCACAGAGGAAGGATGGAGTCTGAGCCCCACCTTGGGGAGATAACCACCCCCTACGTAGCCAGGCCAGAGAACAAGTAAGGTACACCGTTCCTTCTGATGGCTCAGTGTTTCTGGGATATAAACTCATTCGGCATGGAGGGATTTCCAAATTTTGGCAATAGACTCAAGTTATGGTATAAAAATAACATTTTGTTTTCTCTCTTTTTTCTTATTTTAGACCTAAGGATCTTTTGTTATAAGACACCCCAGTTATGAAATATTGAAACATAAGAGATTTGACCATCAGGGGAAAAAAGAAGAATGAGAAATGCTATGAAAGTAACTCCAGACCCAGGCAGGGTGTGAGGTGGGGGAAACAGGAAGAAAAGGAGGCATAACTGGAAAGGCCAGGGGCCAGTCATCTCAGGAAGCAGCTCTGAGACTTGTCGTGTTTGAAAGTGCAAATGTCAATGGATTTTAACCATCTTGAGGTTGTGATCTTTTAAAAAGCTCAGCGAATGTGGAAGTCAATTTCTTCAAATGCAAAATAGCTGGCATTCTGGCTAGATGTTTGTTGAGTTTGGGGTATTTCTTCCCCACCTATCTCCTCTCCCACCCCCACCCCATCCCCCAAAGAAAGGTACAAAAGGTTGCAGTTCTGCAGCATTACCATTACAGGGAAGGCACTGGTTACCCACCAGCAGGCGGAAGGAAGACAGGGTCGTGTCACTTCAGAGCTAAGTGCCATAGTGCCTTAAGTATTACTAGGGGCTGGATGTCTGTCAGGGAGGAGGTGTAAGGTGGGGTAGAAAATGTGGAGAGAGAGGAATGAGGACAAGGAGGGGGGGTGGCAGCTGGGGGAGGAGCAACCAAAACCATTAAAAATCTTCCTACAAACTGGATTCTGAACCCATTAAAACATCTAGTATCCTAAAATATTGATCTGGGTCTGGTTTCATTTTTCTTCTTAAACAAATCTAGACCTTTTCTGATTAAGGCTCCTAAAAAATCCTTCCCTCCTCCCACCCACTTTCTCAAGCCCCTCACTTTCCCATCTAAAGTATCAAACCCAAACCTACCAGCTTTTGTCCACAGGGCTGCAGAGCCGACCTTACCAAGCTGTCAAGCATGAGTCTTTAGCACTGTGAGTCACATGAGACACCTGTGTGTATGGTGAGCACCCCTCTTGGTCCAGTGGGGTCAGGGCCAGATGTGACAAGATGGGGTGAGGGGTGGGCGACATGAGGTTGATATCAGAGATTTCTGGCTGGTGGTCTGTCTTGCTGGCCCTGTTCCCACCCTTATACCACCTCTATAGAAGGAAACAAGGCCTCCTGCACTCCTCCCTACCCCACCTCCCTCCTCCTTGCTTCCTCTGGATTTGGGTGGCACAGCTCTTGGGGCTTGGAAAGCTTTCTTCTATCCAGTGAGGTAACAGCGTTCTGCCTTCAAGCGAAGTACATGGTGCGCAGAGTATCCTGGTGAACCTGCACGGCTTTGGCGAGGGCCTGGGGGTCCCGCCCATTGCTCTGCCCCGATATGTGGCTCCCCTCTCCACTGAAAAGGAAAAAAATGAAAGAAATCCTTCCTGGTGAACTGAACTGCTGCCAATTACCTCACTCATCCCTGAGGTGCCAATTCCCTTACCAACATAAGAGAAAACCCATCCCAGGTTTGGACAGATAAGCTGAAGCACAAATTGATAGCACCCTTTTCCTTCCACCCAAGGAAAGTTGAGAGCATCTAGAACAACAGACTGAAGCAAAAACGAAACCAGCCTGATCCCAGGCCTCACCTGTCATGCTCCTTGTCCACCAGGTGGTATCGTGCCCGGAAAGCCACCAAGCGGGCATAGTAGGCAGGTGCTGGGATAGAGACAGAGCGTGTGCATCGTACGTAAGTATGGCACAGCTGGTACGTCAAGATCTGGAGCTCATCTGCTGTGAAACGGTTGTCATCCCAAAGGACATAGTAATGGGATGGTCGGCTGGTTCCCTGGAAAAACAGGAAGGTGAGGGAACCCAGGTTGGGTAGAGGGGATGGTTGATAAGGAACAGGATCACTGTTAAGAATATGGCTGGGTGGATGATCCACCCACGTCAAAAAGCCACCAATGTCATAAAGCACTCTTCTTATAGGCAACCTGAAAGTACATTCAGGGCTTATTAAGAGAGTGATTCTGATTTGAACACTACTCAGTGACACTGATATATTCTAGAAGCAATGGGAATAAACAACTAATCTTTGACCCATTGGAAACCCCAGAACATAGCCCAGCTACCTGGATGCCTGCATGGCTGCACAGATAGAAGTCAAACTCAAATGGGTGGGTGATGTTGGTGTCCACAGTGGTCCCAGCTGGGATGTTACCACTCTTCCCAATCTGTATAGAGACAAACACAACCAAGATCCCAAACCTGCCTGGCCCTAACCAGGGCCCTGGCTCAATTCTACTCTGACTTCACCAGAATCCCAAGAGCAAAGCAGAAGTTGCTGTTCCCAGAGGGTACCAGGTCTTAATATAATAGACTTCTAAAGTCACACAGACCTGTGTTCAAGTCCTGGTTTTGCCATTTATTAGCTGTGTGATCTTAGCAAGTCATTTAACCTTTCTGAGGTTAAACTGGAGATAATAGTACCTACCTCACAGGGTTGCTGTGAGGAAGACGCCTTGTACAGTGTCTGGCACATAGGAGAAGTTCAATAAATGGTAGTTCCCTTCCCCTTCTCTGGGAGCTGGTCTACATATGGGGTCTAGGCCAGGGAGCTAGGAGGAGGGAGAGGAAGTATAAGGGAATGAGGGGAGGAGGGGAGTCCTACAGGAAGGAGGGTATAGAGGAAGGATCATAAGAGCTAGAGGGAAGGAAGGGGCAAGCTAGGATGGATAGGACAAGGACTAAGTCCCCAGACTTTATCTCAAGAGCTTCTTCCCTATCAAGACAAGGGAGAGAGGTTGAGGGTATGGCTAGTCTCCTCAATCTCTCACTCACTCGCTCATTCTTGTCAGCACAAAAAAGGCGGGTGTGATGGCGTTTCTGCACCACAATGTAAGTGATCCCAGGCTGGTAGTCCTTTTCCAGTTTGATGCAGGCATCACGAATGGCCAGTAGCTCATAGTGGAGGATCTAGACACAGGATGAGGATGGAGAGAAAGAGACATACAAGTCCTTTTGAGTTCACCTGCCCTTCGGAACTAGGGGCCTGCCACTTACAATATGGCTTTTTGCTCAGCCTCCTTTTCTAAGCTGATGCCCAATAATTACAAATGATAGTCCCTTCCTGCCAAAATCAGCCTTATAACTCAGTTCACCGAGTATGTTCCTGTAAAACCTTGGCCGGGAGGCTTGGCATCAGAAGAGAGCACTCACCTGGTTCCTATGCATAAAGAGAACTAAAATCAAGACACAGAATCCAGGTCCACAGAGAAATCACTAAAATTACAATGCCCAAGGTTAGGTCAATCAAGGAGACAATGGGAGTTCCCCTGTGGGCTCCATGAGCAGACAGGGTTTAGATGACCAGAGAAGAGCTGACATATAGTTCCAGAAGGGGCCCAGAGGGAGTATATGAATTTAGTCCTATAAAGAAGCAGGATGATAAGAAAATGGACTAGCTAAAGAAGCCACAGGTAAATAATCATAGGCAATAGTTGCCTGAGGCCATAGATGTCAGATATAGGGAGTTAAAACTGTATGGTAGAAAAGGATAGAATTTGGAATCAAATAGAACTAGGTTTAAACCCAAGCTTTACCTGGTTGTATTACCTTGAGCAACTTAGTCAACACCTCTAAATCTCATTTTCTCCACATCTGTTAATTAATGTTACTAAGACCGGCCTCACAAAGGTGTTGTGAAGACTAAGATAATTAAGTAAAAACACAGAAAATCTAGTAGCTTAATAACTGTTGATTGCTTTGCTAAGCAGTTTGAATTTTAATCCAAAGCTATGTTAAGCTACTAGACATGTGCGAACAGGAAAGTGATATGATAAATTTGTCTGGTATTTTAGAAAATACTGGATGACTTAGAGGTAACTTAGCATAATGGTTAAGAGCACAGACTTTGGAGGCAGACCAATGTGTCTGAATCCCAGTTCTATCCCTCATTAGTTTGGGTGACAACAAAGAATCATTTAACATTTCTAAGCCTCAGTTTTCTCATCTGTCAAATAGAATAATAAAATTATTATCTCATAGGGCTACCATAAAGTATTAAATAGAACATAAATGAAGTGGTCAGCACAGTTCATGACACGAAACAAGTGCACAATAAAAGTGGTTATAATGCTATTAAATGGTAGTCAAAGAGACCAGTTCAGTACAGAAGTCTAAACAATAGATTATGGAGGCTTGGCAGTGAGAATAAATAGGAGTATCATTATGAAGGAAGGTAAACAGCAGTGGTTCTCAAAGTGTGGTCTCCAGACTAGCAGCACTGCTGAGGAAACTTGTCAGTATTGCAAATTCTAGGCCCATATCCTAGACTCACTGAATCAGAAACCCAGAGGGTAGAGCCCTGCAAATTGTTTTAACAAGCCCTCCAGGTGATCTTGATAATACGCTAACTTTGGAGAACCACTGGTCTAAATAATCAGTCTTCAACATGAACCAACTAGTAAATAGAGACTGAGGGCCTCTGTTATAAGAAGAAAGGTCTAAAGATGCTTGTACACTTCATCTCAGTTGTAATTCCCACTCCCAAGCCTACCCCATTTAGTAAAACTTCCTAAGAAGCAGCACACCTCAAGGAAGAGGGAAAGGGCCATGGCCAGGCTGTGCAAAGGGTGCCCCAGTCCTCCTCCTCTGGCCTCCTGCCCGAGGGAAGCTTCCAGAGGCTGCAAGTGTGGCCAAGCCCAGGCTCCTCCCCTCCCCAACCCAACCCATAGCTGACACCGGCTACCTTGTTCTCCACCCACCAAGATGGTGCTCAACCCTGCAAAGCAGACATGTTGAAAAAGATGTTTTGATCCCTAACATAATGAGCGAAAAGGTCAGAGAGGTGTTCTGAACAAGTTCAAGATTTTACCAAATGTTACAAAAACTCTGGACTCCTTATGGTAGTAAAATGCTGAAAAGAAAATTCTGCATTGAAAGAATGTCTAACTGGTTACTATAATGATCCAGCTTTTTATAAACAATGCAAAATGGAACACCCTAAGGAAAGGGAAAAATTCAGAAAAACTGGAATTCCCACCAACAAAATGCTACAGAAGCTTCCTACAAGCATGTAAAAAAATGTTCCAGTGATACTCAAGAACTCTAATATTCATGGAAATCACTTATAGTATAAATCAACTGAAATAAATCCATCAATCAGCACTCAAAAACAAACAAACAGGCCGGGCGCGGTGGCTCACGCCTGTAATCCTAGCTCTTGGGAGGCCGAGACGGGCGGATTGCTCAAGGTCAGGAGTTCAAAACCAGCCTGAGCAAGAGCAAGACCCCGTCTCTACTATAAATAGAAAGAAATTAATTGGCCAACTGATATATATATATAAAAAAAATTAGCCGGGCATGGTGGCGCATGCCTGTAGTCCCAGCTACTCGGGAGGCTGAGGCAGAAGGATCGCTCGAGCCCAGGAGTTTGAGGTTGCTGTGAGCTAGGCTAACGCCACGGCACTCACTCTAGCCTGGACAACAAAGCGAGACTCTGTCTCAAAACAAACAAACAAACAAATAAAAGAAGCAGCACACCTCCCACTGCCAATAGCTAAGAAAAGGTAGCAGCTGCTAGCCCTCTGGCCTCAGTGTAAAGGTTTTCTGGGCCCTACCTGGGGGAGCTGGCCTTCAGGGACCCCATCTCGGTAGAAGATGATGCGGGTAGGCTTGAAGCGGGTGGACTTGTAGAATTGAATGAGCAGCTCACGCACCATGTAGGACAAGTCTTCAATGATCTCTTGCCGTGGTCGCTGTACCCGCACAGTAGCACAGTATCGGCTGGGGTGGGCATCCATACTGCCTACCACCTGACAGTCAAAGAGAAAGGATCAGCCCCTAGAACCTTTCTTCACCCTCCCTCTATTGTCAGGCTATGGGTTTGGGGAAAAGCTTCTTGGAAAACTGTGTAATCAAATGAGCAGAGATTAGGATTCAATGGGCCCTGGTTTCAATCTCTGTTGTTTCACACATGTAGAAGTTACTTAATCCATCTGATCTTCTCCTTCCTCTTCTCAGATGGAGGTAAGAATACCTCCTTGCAGTGCTGTAGTAACACATATAAAGCACCTTGCGCAGGGCCTACCTCACAATAGGTACTTGATAAATTTGATTCCCCTACTTTTTGCAGAGGGGCATGTGAAGGTCTAGCACTACTAGATCAAACAATGACCTCATCCAGCCCTAAGTTTATCCTTTTTTCCATTCAAGTGCTAATCTACCCAGGAACCATATCCATGGTGACAGTGTTCTTTTGACTGATGGAAGTAACACCATTTTCAGAAGGGACAGTGGCCACAGCATAGGAGGGATGGCCACAAGAAAAACAGGGAGAAGCATATTATAGGGTTTCCACTGCAGTAAGACCAGTCTGCCTACAGAAATGTGAGTGTTGAGAAAATGCAAGTGGGAAGGGAAGGAAGGCCTGATCCCTAGCATTCTGAAAGCCCCAGGGGACAGGAAGTAGAAAAGTCAGGAGAGAGACTAGAGAAACATCTATCTACTAGATTGATCAGGGGTAGGGGTGGGGCAGAGGAAAGGACAGTCCCAGTAACTAAATAACTCCCTTAAAAGGGATTTCAGAGAAGAGCTAGTCACTCCCCTACATCCCAAAAGCAGGCATGGAGAGTGAGAAATTCAAATGCAGAGCAAGAGTGATGAGCCAAGTCTCTGACTATATTCTTACTACTCTCCCTGGAAAAGAGCTTCATACAAAGCTAACTTTATGAAGATTCTAAGGGAATGGGCAATGGGATGGTGAGCTAAATGGAGAAGATCTTATGAAGGGTCAAGAGCCTGAGCTGAGGGAAGGAAATCATGTGTAGTCTTGGGGACTGAGAGCTTAGAGGAGAACCTTATGAGATAGCTGGAGAGCATCACTCACTGCTGTGATAGAAGGTTTTTTCCCATCCCCTGCTGGTGGGTGTGTAACATCTGCTCCCAAGAATATCACTGGCTGTTGAAAGACGGCAGAGCTAAGCAAGGAAGAGAAAACAAAATCGTGAGGAGTTGGGTTTTCTCTGGCTGGCACCATCCAACACCCACTCTGATCTTCTCCCCTTGTGTCTGATTCATTCTGCCTGGCTAGGGTCTGTCTCTTCATCAATTTCCAGCACGATACCTTAACAAGGGCAAGTGTACAACAGAGTTCATACCGCTGGTGTGGGACTAGGATGTTGTTAATGCCACCAAGTTTGACATTGATCTTGAGGCAGAGGTTGGACAGAGTCTGAGGCGAGGTCTTGACCACGTTCTTCACCTGCACACACTGTGTAGCCATTCCCAAGAGAGTGTCTCCAACACGTTTCACCTCAGCTATGGGCAGGGAGAGAAGTGATTAGTGCATTCAACAAATATTTACTGAATGGCTACGAGATACCAGGCAGTATATGAGGTGCTAGAGAATACAATGGTGACAGAAAACATATAATGTCCCTACTCTTTATAGTGCTTACTACCTAGTGACTAATTTTAAAAACTGTGAAAATTACAATACTGATAAATGCTACAACCTCATGGAGCAATGAAAGCACATAGTAGGAAGTAACATCTGAGTCAGGAAGGGATCCTTAAATAATGACTAAACTGAATTCTGAAGGCAGTAAAGGACTTAGAGAAGAGAGGGAGTTCGGAAGAAAGCATTCCAGACAGAGGGAAGAACATACAAAAATGCACTATCCTAGAAGATAACAAGATATGTTTGAGACATTGAAAGGTCATAGTAGCTAAAACAAACAGCAAGGGGACCATGTTTTGAGAGAAAGAATGTGGTCATTAGGCCAATCTACAGAAGAGATGAGGGTAGCTTAGATTAAGAAAACAGTTGAGTTGTTGAAATGGAGAGAAACACATGAACTCAGATATTTAAGAGACTCACTTATAGACTAGAGGCATGAGTAAGGGAAATGAATTTCTATGTATAACTTTAAAATTCCTAGCTTCTGTAATAGGAGTAAATAGATAATAAGCTTGTTCTTTTGTTTGTTTGTTTGTTTTTAGATATTTTGAGTTTGAAGAGTTTTTTGATCATCCCAATGAGGATATCAACAAGGCAAATGAGTATAGTGGCTGGATGCTCAAAAAAGGAGTCTGTAATGGGATGCAAATTTGTGCAATATTTAGGTACAGGTAGCAATTGAAAGCATGATCTTGATGAAATCACCAAGGAAGATAACACAGTGAAAAGAGAAGAGAGCTTAGATCTGAATCTTGAGGAACTTACACTATTTGCAGAACAGAAAGATGATGAGTCTGCAAAGGAGAAAAATCCAGAGAGCTAGAAGGAAGACCAAAACAGTTGTATCATGAATGCCACAGAAAGAAAGAGTATCAAGAAGGAGCAAGTAGTCAACAAAGTAAAACACAGCTAAGAGATCAGGTAAAATGAGGACTGGAAATGTCCTCTGGAATTAGTGATATTGAGGCAACAAAAAAAAAATGCAGTGTATAGAGGCAAAAACTATTTTGGTAATATAAAGTACCAAGCAGGAAATTTATGATCAATGAATAATTTGCTATGTTTTCAATGGAAGAGACTTGAGCATGTTTTAAGAAGTTTACTTCCACTTCCATGAGAAATGGAATAGTTAGTGGCAAGCCAGTTCTACAGCGAACATTCAGAAAAACCAGATAAGGGCCGGGCGCGGTGGCTCACGCCTGTAATCCTAGCACTCTGGGAGGCAGAGGCGGGCGGATTGCTCAAGGTCAGGAGTTCAAAACCAGCCTGAGCGAGACCCCGTCTCTACCATAAAAATAGAAAGAAATTAATTGGCCAACTAACTATGATATATATTAAAAAATCAGCTGGGCATGGTGGCTTGTGCCTGTAGTCCCAGCTACTCGGGAGGCTGAAGCAGGAGGATCGCTTGAGCCCAGGAGTTTGAGGTTGCTGTGAGCTAGGCTGACGTCACGGCACTCACTCTAGCCTAGGCAAGAAAGCGAGACTCTATCTCAAAAAAAAAAAAAGAAAAGAAAAACCAGATAAAATACAGAAATCATGTTTTTGAAGGCAGCAGAGAGGTGCTGAGGCAACAAAAACTGGAGGGATTAAAAATTCCAAGCAGGGAGAAAATCCCAAAGAGATGAGCTATCTTCTGCAATTGTGTTTTTTTTTTTTTTTTTTTTTTTGAGACAGAGTCTCGCTTTGTTGCCAGCTAGAGTGAGTGCCGTGGCGTCAGCCTAGCTCACAGCAACCTCAAACTCCTGGGCTCAAGCGATCCTTCTGTCTCAGCCTCCCGAGTAGCTGGGACTACAGGCATGCGCCACCATGCCCGGCTAATTTTTATATATATATCAGTTGGCCAATTAGTTTCTTCTATTATAGTAGAGACGGGTCTCGCTCTTTGCTCAGGCTGGTTTTGAACTCCTGACCTTGAGCAATCCGCCCGCCTCGGCCTCCCAAAGAGCTAGGATTACAGGCGTGAGCCACCGCGCCCGGCTGCAATTGTTTTTAACCTGTGTACATTTGCTGATTGTAGGTATGGGCAGGAAGCTGAGATTCCAAGCTCTGGGACCACTACCAGGGGACAGGAAAGCAACAGAGTTTTTGCTCTGTTTACAGACACATTAGTTCTCAATGTGAAAGGTTAAAAAACAATTCATATAAAAGAAAACGTAAGAAGCCGAGGTGGAAGGATTGCTCAAGGTCAGGAGTTCGAAACTAGCCTGAGCAAGAGCGAGACCCTGTCTCTACTAAAAAGAGAAAGAAATTAATTGGCCAACTAAAAATATATAGAAAAAATCAGGCCCTGCGCAGAGGCTCACACCTGATATCCTAGCACTCTGGGAGGCCGAGGTGGGCAGATTACTCGAGGTCAGGAGTTCGAAACCAGCCTGAGCAAGAGCGAGACCCTGTCTTACTATAAATAGAAAGAAATTAATTGGCCAACTAATACATATAGAGAAAAAATTAGCCGGGCAGGGTGGCACATGCCTGTAGTCCCAGCTACTTGGGAGGCTGAGGCAGCAGGACTGCTTGAGCCCAGGAATTTGAGGTTCCTGTGAGCTAGGCTGACACCATGGCACTCACTCTAGCCTGGGGAACAAAGTGAAACTCTGTCTCAAAAAAAAGAAAAAAAAAGAAAAAATTAACTGGGAATGGTGGCGCATGCCTGTAGTCCCAGCTACTGGGGAGGCAGAGGCAGGAGGATTGCTTGAGCCCAGGAGTTTGAGGTTGCTGTAAGCTAGGCTGATGCCTTGGCACTCTAGCCCAGGCAACAGAGGGAGACTCTGTCTCAAAAAGAAAAAAAAAAAAAAAAAAGAAAACTTGAAATAGTACCTTCATGACCCTGGATTTCTTAAACAGGACACAGAACTACTAGCCAAAATATTAAAAAACTGGACTACACTAAAATTTAAAAGTTCCATTCAACAAAAGACACCATTAAGAAAGTAAAAAGGCAAGACAGTGAAGAGAAGATATGTGTAATATACACACATATATTCAACAAAGAAACTGGAAAGAACACCTATAAATCAATAAGGAAAAGGCAGTAAAGTCAACAAAAAAAGGAAAAGACTTGAGCAAGCACTTTATAAAAAAAAAGGCTAATGACATAGCTTCACCTATTTCATTAAAAAGATACTCAACTTTATTAGTCATCAGAGAAATCAAATTAAAAGCACAATCCAATATCACCAAAACCCCACAAGAATGTCTAAAATGAAAGAGACAATACCAAGTTTGGTAAGGATGAAGTCTAGAAGTCTCTATCTAGAAGTCTCATACACTGCTGGTGGAAGTATAAACTGGTATACTTACAATCCACTACTAGATAGACACCTAACAGAAATGCATGCATATGTTCAAAGGATATGTACAAGAGTGGTCAATGAAGCATTATTTATAATAGTCAAAAACTAGAAATAATCCAAATATGTGCACTAACAGTAGAATAGATAAATACATGTAAATTGTGTTATATTCATATAATGGAAAAACAATCACAAACTACAACTAGAGACAACATTGATGAATCTCACAAACTTAATGTGTAAAAGAAGCCAGACACACAAAAAGATTATATTGTATGATTCCATTTATATAAAGTTCAAAAACAGGCAAAACTAACCTATGGTGTTAGAAGCCAGAACAGTGGTTACCACTGGTGGGAGGCTGGGGTGACTGGTAGCCTGGGGCTGTGGTAGTGTTCCACTACCTGAACTGGGTGCTGATTACACTGCTGACACTTTGTGAAAATTCACTGAGCTGAACATGTAAAATTTCTCTATGAATAATTCAATAAAAAGTTCACATTAAAAAAAGCCAATAGTATCAACATAGTGGAGAGGAAGGAGTTAAAATACTAAAGACAAGATAGGTGTAGTATCTGATAAAACTGGGAAAATGTGATAGTCCTTCTACACTCTCAGGACCACCAAATGCCAATGGGACTTTGACCATCAGAGGGAAAATGCCATTTCACCCAGCCTCCCAGGAGGGAAGGTGAAGGGTCTTTAGAAGAATCTGACTGCTTCTCTTATCTGCTGGTTTAAATTCCTACACAGATGACCCCATCAACCAGGTAGTATAACCAAGGAATGCATGTAAATGGAAGAAACCCAAGGCCTCAATAAAGATATGAAGCTAGAGACAACAGTAACATTACTGAGCCCAGGGAAGGGAAAATTCTAAGTACTGCCTTCCCTAAGCATGCTTTACTATACTCCCAAGGTAAGCCAAAACACTGAATTCTTCCCTTAATAGAGGGAACCAGAAACATAGATATTTCCTTAAGGCAATTCTCCTAAAAAGCATCCTTATCATCCATACTAGGACCCAAGAAAGATATGATTGAAGAGCAATCAACTTCCCTCAATAACTATTATTAATTACTGAGTATCTTATCAGTGGGAGTTAATACCTTAGGTGTGTATGTATACAGAGGGAAGAAGTTTTCAGAGCAGAATCAGACCTAATCCATGCTCAAAATATGATGCAAGATTGTAATTGATCAATGGTCTGATAAATTAGAGGAATCCAGAGACAAGTTCACCCTCTAGGTGGGATGTCACGAATATGGAATAAGTAGCATTTAAACTGGGCCTTAAATGATGGAGACAATTTTAAGGGCAACATGGGGGACAAGAAGGGTATTCAGATATCCCAGGAAAAGGCAAATGACATGAACAAAACCAGAGATTGGAAAGTACAGACAAGAAATGAGCACTTAGAGTGTCACCTATATGCAAGTCACCGTGCCAGATGCTGCGTTTTATATAATTAATTCATGAGACTTAGAAAGCTTAGGTGTTAAATAATTTGCCCAAGACAGCTGACTTGGATAGCCAGGCTTAAATCCAGTTCTAATTCTAGAACCAGTGATCTTTCCAGGATGTGTGATAAGTGAACACTGCAAGATTAAGCTGAAAAGTTTAAATTAAGATCAGGGCCATGAAAAGTCTTTATGTAGTAATGAATGGGAACCAATGAAGGGGTTTTTTGGTTTTTTTGTTATTTGTTAAGAGATGGGGTCTCACTCTGTTTCCCAGGCCAAAGTGCAGTGGAACAACCAAAGCTCACTGCAGCCTCAATCTCCTGGACACAAGTGATCCTTCTGCCTCAGCCTCTGAAGTAATTAGGACTACAGGCACATGCTACCATGCCAGGCTAATTTATTTTATTTTTTGTATAGACAAGGTTTTGCTATATTGCCCAGGCTGGTCTTGAACTCCCAGACTCAAGCGATCCTCCTGCCTTAGCCTCCCAAAGTGCTGGGATTACAGATGTGAACCACCACGCCCCGTTCACTTTTTTGGTAATACAATCACAGAAAGTCTTACCTGATAATCTATTCAACAAAGCCTTGAGAAGGAAGGTTAGAACTAAGTTGATAAGTATGGGTAGAGAGCAGGGAATGTATCTTAAGAAAGATTGTGAAAAAGAGCACTGGAGGTGAAGCAAAGAGAAGACAGACTGCCTCCAAAGTTTGAATGAAGGTACTCAGAAACAACTATGTTGCTAAACACAGAAAAGAGAAGCAAAGAGAAGGTTTTACAGAGAAGACAAGCTACTGAAGAGATGGTCCAACAAAACATTTTCTAAGGGCACAGACTGTATCTGTTATATTCACCAATGTATCTAGGATTTTGCATAGTGTTTCACACATGATAGATGATTAATAAACTCCTGCAAAAGAAAAGGAGAGAGGCCAAAGGTACAGGCAGGAGCTGCAGAGGGTTCAAGGGTTAGATCAAGACTTTAATGATATAACATATAACAATAGGTGATGATTGAAGCAACCAAAATGAATAAGAATGTTAAGAGAATGTAAAAACAGAAAGAGAGGGCAGGGGACAGAAACCTAGCAAATACCAACCATTCCTGGTAATGACAAAAATTAGTAAGGAGAGACAGGAGAAAATATGCAGAAGTCAAGGGAAGAGGACAACTGAGAAAGGTCACTGGCAGCCCTTTGCAGAGGAGGTTTAGGAGAAAGGTAGATAGAAGGCAAGATAGATGAAAGATGCTAAGGAGTAAGTGGCTGGTGAGAAAGTGGGCATAAGAGAATGTAGAGAAATCATTCAAAAGGTTTGATGAAGAAAACAGGAAGACAAAAGCTAAAGGAGATGGCAAGATTGTGGTAATGTGCACTAGGATGGGGAATTTGAAGATGTTTGTGAGTTGAAAGGTATGAAGTCCCAAAGGTAGCAGGATAGGTTGGGAACAAGGGCACAGAAGAGTTGAGCAAACTAAGAGGAACACCTCTTCCTTTGAAGCAGGAGAGGTAGAGAGGGAAAACAGAGTACAAGAAAAGTGCTGAGCCAGAAACTTATATAGTCTCTCCTGTAGAGAAGAGAAGAGAAGAGAAGAGAAGAGAAGAGAAGAGAAGAGAAGAGAAGAGAAGAGAAGAGAAGAGAAGAGAAGAGAAGAGAAGGGAAGAGCCTCTCAAAAAGTCCAAATCATTATCAAACAGCCACCACACATTCTGGTTGAGTGTGCTGCACAGTATCCTGATAAACAACTCACCCCTAAAGATAGGAATCTGGACTGACCCATCTCTATATCTGGCCCAGCTGAGCCTGGTATAAAAACCAGCACTCATAGGACTCCAGTAAATGTTACTGGGAAATAAAGGTGAGCATACAATTAGGATCTGGGATGACTCAATGGCTCATATAGGCTGCTCTTTCTCCTATAACAGAAGTACTGACATTAAGGAACGGCTCTAGCTAGAGCCAAGAATTTACATCAAGTCTTCCCTAGGAGTCTCCAGGGAGCTACCCTGAGAAGAATCCCATCATCATTAGCACTGTCCCAAGAAAACTGTACCATACACTGGTGTCTTCCCTGGCAGGATGACGATAATAAGCTGCAGCCCTGAGTAGGTGTTCTTGAGATGCCGGAACATGGGCTCCACGCTGTCTGCCCCCTGCGCATATTTGCAGAAACAAGGCTGACCCTGGATAGGCATCCCTGCATCCTTGGAAATCTTCCGCAGCTGGTCTGTGAAGTTCCTATAGCACAAGCATGGTCATGACAGAAAGCAGTAAGTCCCACTTTAATACTTCTGGCCAAATGCCTCGATCTTAGGTGCTCAGCACTATGAGAGGGACTGAGAGATTCTAACCTAAATGAGAAATGATCACAGCTAGTGCAAAATGTCCATTTATAGTTGAGTATGACAAGACAGCTTGCCAAGTGTTCAATGATAGGAGCAAAGACATGAGGGAGCCCAGAAAAGGGACCTATGGGAATTCTCAGGGTTCCCACCTTGCCCCACTCAAGCAGCTGATTCCTATGCTCCATTATATGTCCAAAGAAACAGGCAGATGACCAAGAGTAAGGCCTTTTTGCTCAAAATAAATGAGATTCCAACAGTGATGGGAGCACAGGAGATGCTCAGTAAAAAATGAGCTCCCTCCTCTCCAACTGGTTCTTTGAAGCCTAAGAGCCAGTAAAATAAGCTTCATTCCTTTGGCTTTAGGGCTTTACCCTGGGAAATGAAGACAAAATTGGAAGAAAAGATACACATACAATAGAGTAAAAAAAAAAAAAAAATCAACCTACATAAACATACTAACAGATTAATTTAATTTTAATTAATTAATTAAACGAGTAGCAGGAAATTTAATGTGAAAATCTTGCATTGAAATTATAAAGCTATAATGTACAGAGAATGAAAGCAATTGCTTAGGAGATATTATATAGAATATAAGTATCAATTATAGTTCAGTTAGAAAATAAGTATTTTTCACATATTTCATAAAAATGCAAAAGAAAGGTAAATACAGTACGATAGTACGATACTATTATGCAAAATTTAAGATAATTTATATACATATAGTATATACAATATAGAAATTGAATAGGAAGGTTACAATAAATTGTGACAGTGGCTGCATTAGAAGGGAGGAATAGGACTAGGGTGGAAGATATGAAAGAACATCATGTTTATCTGTAATATTTTATTTACTTTTCCAAAAAGGATAAATATGACAAAACTTATGATGGATACATGAGTGCCTGAGGTGGTAGTCTCTACATTTACTATTTTTAAAAAATTTTCAAAATGAATGTTCGACTAAAAAAATACAACCTAACCATTGTTTCATGTTAATAAAAACTAGGGCTTTGATGGACTACTAATAGTATTTCTTCCATTTCTCTGCCTTGTATACAACTGCAGAGTAGCTACAAAAAAAGCCTACATGTTACCAGATTTCATTAATAGTGGGTCTCTACTTGAAGAAAAGTGGTATTCCCAATCTTCTCTCTACTACCAGAATCACACTTGGGATATCTCAAACCACAAAGTGTTGAGAGATATATAGGACGGGGAAGGTCTTGAAATCCTGTCCTAAAGGTGACATAGCTGAATGGGGCCTCTTTAGCTAGAAGAAAAATTCTGAGGGTTGTACCTAGGACTCCCTCACCATTCCCAACTACTAGTTTCTCCAACTCCACAGCAATCTTCATGTTTTCCCCTCTTCTCAGTGGAAAGGATGCCTTCTCTCCATGCCGTGGATCCCACCACCTTATACACACTTAGAGACTTTGCTCTGTTTATTTTCCAGTTTCTCTGAGTTAACTTACTATGCACATTCTCTCTGGACAATCTCATCCACTGCCATGGCTAAAGAGTCAGAAATCTTTACCTTTAACCCAGAACCACACATCTAATTGGTTATTACTGACCCAGATGGACAAACCACATTCTTACCCCATATATCTAAGGGTCACAAGGAGAAGGGGATGCTTGATAAACTGACCTCTTTCAAGTCTGATAGTCTAGGGTTTATCAGTTCCTATACCCGAAAATGGCCAAAACAATGGACTGTTTCCCAAAAGAACTGGAAAAGGGAAGGACGTGGGAGTAAGAGAGATGCACAGAGAAAATAAAACTGCCAGTGAAGTGACTATAGCACAAAGGCAAAGACCAGGGAGCCTTTCTAATATGCTAAGGGCCAGCCCTCCAATGCCAGGCCAAGGCCAGGAGTAAATGGTTTAAATGGGGCCAATATCCAAAGAACCCAGGAAAGGGGACAAGAACCATCACCCACTTAGAAGAAGCTACAGTTATGATTGTGGTAGTGGTTGTATATCCGTGAGGGGAGAAGGTAGAATGACAAAGTCTGGGTCCAGAGTCCCCAGATCCACCAAGAACTGCTAGAACTAATTCTTGTGAAGACTCCAAGGCTAGATGAACCCACCAGGGCACACATCTCCATTACCCTCATCACTACCCAAAATAGTCAACCCCATTGACTCTCTTCATCCCCAGAGTACACTGACTCCACTCCAAAGCCACAGAGAATGAGAAGCCACCATTCCAAAAGACAGCAGGAACCAACAAACTGTATGCTTTATGTGGGTGCGTTTTGTGGTATTTTAAACATATCTCAATAAAACTATTTAAAAAAAAAAAAAAGACTGCAGGGGAAGGATCAGTGACTTCTTCACTTACTCATTCACACACCAGAGCCATCAAGGGGTGGGGAACCTGCAGCCTTGGGGCCACAGGTGGCCTTCTGGATCCTTGAGTACAGCCTTTTGACTGAATCCAAATTTTACAGAACAAATCCCACTTGGGGATCTGGAGGGCCACATGTGGCCTTGAGGCTGTGGGTCCTTCACCCATCTAAACTGTTTTTTAAAATCATTTGGCTTTATCACTTTCCTTATTGCTGTGATCTACTTAAAACCCCTCGGCCACAGTGTCGCAAAGGCCCTTATAACTCTTGTTAACCTAATTCAGGTCACTTGGACCTGACTGAACAAATTCTGTGCATAGCAAAGGACAGCTCAGAGATCAGCTAAACAATTTGCTCTATTTTGTTTCCAATTAGGAACCAAGTTTTGAAGCTCGGATCTGAACTGATCCCAACTCTATCTAATACTTTCTTGATGATATGCGAACTTTGGACAAGTTACTTAACCTCTTGAGCCTCAGTCTCCTGAAAATGGAAATATCACCACCTACTCACTGTAAAGATGAAATGAGAGAACATAAATTAGGTACTTAAGTACAATGTTGGCATAAACATTACAGTCATCACTAGTACTATTTATTACTAATAACAATAATTATAACAATAAAATAATCCAGGCCTTCTTTAGGCGATTCAGACCCTAAAATCATTACCTCTGACATAGATATAGCCCCTTATCAAATTCTCCTAACCAAAAATGGACAGAAAAGGAATAGGTAGAAGCTTGAGCAAGAAAGCACAATATAGGCAGAGTCAAGACAGAAAGAGCACACTATCAATCAATCTCAGCCCCTGGGGGTGGAGGAGGGCCAGCAGCTCTAGCATCCTTCCCACCCTTCCACACCTATACCCAAGCCTCCTTACTTGAGCACCTCTTCTCGACACTGTTTCTGGGGTGCGAAGCAGGCGATGGCCCAGACTTTGATCTCAATCCCATTGTAGAACTGTTTCCCCCGCATGTCCCAGACACCCTGATTGGGTGTAGCAATGGCCCGGTTCTGGAAATAGTCAGAGGGGGCGCCCAGGTGAGCCTCAGTAGAGTCAGATGGGTAGGGGAACAAAAGCCCCTGGCTATACAACCCGACCACCCACATATACCCCAGAGATGTTGTCTGGCCCTGACCCTGCTCACCCGGCCGCCGTACTGCAAGATGGGCGCCGGCAGCACTCGCCCCGTCACCTCCGTCATGTCGTCTTTCACTTTAATCCCAAATTCTTGGATATAGGGATCTAAGTTGTAGCTGGCATTCTTCATCTGCAGTACAAAAGAGGGAGATCTCAGGAGAGCAGCAGCTTGGCAATACTCCTCACCCTCTGGGTCCCAAGGAGACAGCCCTGAAGAGAAGCTAGGAGTAGCAAGGAATAGCTCTAAAAAGGGGGCCCAGGGAGACTGGAAGATGAGAGAAGTGGAAGTGGATAATACAGCAAAGTAATGCAAGAGAGAAATGGAGAGATAGAAGCAAAGTAGATACAAGGTCAAAAAACAAGAGCAGCCCTGTGGAGTTCCAGGGAACAAATCCAGACTTGGGTTCTCCTGAAGGAATGTCCGCTGGGCCATTAAAACATCTATATTATCAAGGGCCCCAATGACTGAGTAAACATTTCTCTGCAGCCCCACTGACCAGGCGACTGATCTCCTCCTGTCTGTCTGGCGCCGACCTAGCTGTGGCCTTTATCATGGTCGAAGTCTGGTTGTCAGTCAGCTTCTTAATGCAGCGCTGCCCAGCCACAATGTTACAGACCTGAGGAAACGAGAAGGACAGGTAGCTCTGGCTTGATATAGTCCACCCTGTACCCAGAGCCCCACAGTGAGAAGAGACTTTAGCTATCAACCATGGAGAAGGGGACTGCAAAAACACCTTGCACATGCACATATTCTCCTCTTGAATTTTACTTGATAGTTAGAAAATACTCATGTGCAATGTAAAAGGCAATACAGCCACTTTGTGATCAAGAGCTTGGGATCCAGAGCCAGATGTAGGCTCTGGTCTCATATGTTAAATAAGGACAACAGTAACAATATCCTAGGGTTGTCTGAATAGTACATAAAATAAAACACTAAAAGGACTGAGTGCAGTTCTGGGACACAGTAAACATTCAGTAAGTTGTAGCATAGATTATTATTTATTAATGTACCAAGTATTGAGCCCTCCTGAATATCAAAAAATTCAATATAAACAAATTAGATTCCTAAAGCAGCTGTCCAATGATGGCAGACAATTGCTCCATCCTGCAACCCACCAGGAGGACTATGGATGGCTCTAAACCCTTTAGCCCCAGCCAAAAGATGACCATTGAGCCCCCAGACTGTAGAAATCATCATCTCTGTTGGCTGACCATATCCTCTGTTGATGTGAGTAACATCCTGCCCTCAATTCATCTCTTCGGGGTCAAACAGGACACAATGGAGATCAAAAAAGGCTGTTTAATGATATGTAAGACTTCCATTCCCCAATATACTATATTCAGGATGCCGTTAACAGGAAGGCTTGTAGTAGAATTGAAAGAGCCAGTAAGTTTTGGAAGATTTGTCTTTTAAGTCCAGCTTTGCCATTTCTAGGTGATATTGAGCAGGTCTCTTAACTACTCTAGACACTGCTACTTTAGTCTCAGACATGGGGAAAAAAACAGTAGCTGTCTCACCAGGTTGTTGTGAGGATTTAAAAGAGATGAAACGTGTAACTTGCTTGCATAGGGTCAACATTCTTTAAGTACCTGTTCATACTAAACAATGGGGAGGAAGACCAGGCCAAGGTCACCTTCAAATTCCATATTCCAAAGAATCATAAAATAGTCCATTGACTTAATGAAAATCCAGAATTGTTGACATTTGTGAGGTTGCTGTCTTAAAGGTGCCTTACAAGTTGTAGCACTCTATACAGATGGTTACAGATAGAGAATTAACACTAGCAAAAGACTAAAGTGTGGAGGTGGTGAAATTAGAACCCTTGTACATTGCTGGTGGGAATGTAAAATGGTGCAGCTGCTATGGATAGTAGTATGGCGATTCCTCGAAAAATTAAACATAGAATTCCCATATGAACCAACAATTCTATTTCCAGATATGTACTCAAAAGAAGTGAAAACAGTGACTTGAACAGACATTTGTATTTCTTGCTCATTACAGTATTATTCACAAAGCCAAAAGCAACCCAGGTATCTATAAGTGGATGAATGAATAAATAATTCACAATTGTGGTATATACATACAATGGAATACTATTCAGCCTTAAAAAGGAAGGGAATTCTAATATGCTACAACATGGATCACCTTGAAGACATTATGCTAAGTGGAATAAGTCAGTCAAAAAAGGACAATTATGGCCAGGCAGAGTGGCTCACGCCTGTAATCCTAGCACTCTGGGAGGCCGAGGCGGGCGGATCGCTCGAGGTCAGGAGTTCGAAACCAGCCTGAGCAAGAGCGAGACCCCGTCTCTACTATAAACAGAGAGAAATTAATTGGCCAACTAAAAATATAACAGAAAAAAATTAGCCGGGCATGGTGGCGCATGCCTGTAGTCCCAGCTACTAGGGAGGCTGAGGCAGAAGGATTGCTTGAGCCCAGGAGTTTGAGGTTGCTGTGAGCTAGGCTGACGTCACGGCACTCACTCTAGCCTGGGCAACAAAGTGAGACTCTGTCTCAAAAAAAAAAAAGGACAATTATTATACGATTCCATTTATTTCTACCTAAAGTAATGAAATTCACAGAGATAGAAAGTAGAATGGTGGTTGCCAGGAGTTAAGGAGAGAGGAAATGGGGAGTTGTTATTTAATGGGTATAGAGTTTCAGTTGGGATGATGAAAAGGTTTTAGAGATGAATGATGGTGATGGTTGCACAACAGTGTAAATGTATTTAATGCCACAGAACTATACACTTAAAAATGGTTAAAATGGTAAATTTTATGTTATGTACATTTTATCACAATTTGAAAAAGAAAAGACTAAAGGAAGAATGAACTGTGATTTAAATATGAACAAATGATTTTGCTGACACTCTCATGAGCCTGGATAAACTATTCAAGGAAGAAAAAGACCTGGATTGGAGGCACTGGTTATTTCTAGTTTCTAGCTAGGGAGATTCAAATAATCTATATTGTTCTTCTACTTAAAACCTTTCAATGGATTCCTATTATAATTAGAATAAAATCCCACTTGGCCAGAAATTGGAACACTCATTCATTGCTGATGAGATAGTACAATGGCATAGTCACTTTGGGAAACAATCAGGCAGCTCCTCAAGATATTAAACATAAGATTATATATGATTTCACTCTTAGATATATACCCAAGAGAAATGAAAACATATGTTCACACAAAAATGTGTACATCAATGTTCACAGCAGCATTACTCATAATAGCCAAAAAGTGCAAAAGGGGTCAAATGCTCATCAACTGATGAATGGATAAACAAAATGTGACATATCCATATAATGTAACAATACAGATGAACCTTAAAAACATTATGCTAAGTGAAAGAGGCCAGTCAAAAAAGCCCCAATATTGTATGATTTCATTTATGTGACATGTCCCTTCAGCTTAAATGCCTCAGGTTAGTTCTGAAATCCTAGAAGCTCAAAGAAGGCTTGAGCTTTGGTCTGGACAATCTCACATTTGCTGCTGGAACAAAGAAGGTAGTCTAGGATAGTGCTTCTCCAACTTGAATGTACATATGAATCTACTTTGGATCCTGTTAAAAGACAGATTCTGGCTCAGCAGGTATAAGAAGAGCCTGAGATTGTGCATCATTTTAAATAAGTTCTCAGGTGATGCCTATCCTGTTGGTATGCTTTTTATTTATTTTATTCATTTATTTTTTTTGAGACAGAGTCTCACTCTGTGGCCTGGGGTAGAGTGCCATGGCATCAGCCTAGCTCACAGCAATCTCAAACTCATGGGCTCAAGCGATTCTCCTGCCTCAGCCTCCCAAATAGCTGGGACTACAGGTGCACACTACCGCACCTAGGTAATTTTTACTATTTTAAGTAGAGATGGGTCTCACTCCTGGTCAGGCTGGTCTCAAACTCCTGATCCCAAGCAATCCTCCCTCCTATGCCTCCCAGAGTGCTAGGATTACAGGCGTGAGCCACTGCACCCGGCCTCCTGTTGGTATACTGGCCACACTTTGAGTAGCACTGGACTAGACAATGAAGTAGTCAGAATAGTTTCTCATTAGATATTCATTCTGGCTAGTATGTACCAAATCAAATAGAGCCCAATGATTCTGCGTTTATATTCTATGACTTAAATAGCATTACTATTCTTTCTCTAATTGCAGGATTTCAAAGGTCTACTAAAATATAAAAGTGTGACAAATCCTGGGGCTAGAAATTTTTAAAAGAAACACATTAATCATTGGAGAAATAGAATCTACATTATAGGTAATATTTATCTCTACTTTCTGTACAGCACGGTACACTGTATCTCCAGATCACTTAGTACCCCGAGCTTCAGACAGCATGGAAAGAGAAATTAAGAGAACATGAGGCCGGGCGCGGTGGCTCACACCTATAATCCTAGCACTCTGGAAGGCCGAGCCGGGCAGATCATTTGAGCTCAAGAGTTCGAGACCAGCCTGAGCAAGAGCGGGACCCCATCTCTACTAAAATAGAAAGAAATTAATGGCCAACTAAAATAAATAGAAAAAAAAATAAAAATAAATATAAAAAAAAAATAGCGGGCGCGGTGCTCACGCCTGTAATCCTAGCTCTTTGGAGGCCGAGGCGGGGATGCTCGAGGTCAGGAGTTCGAAACAGCCTGAGCAAGAGTGAGAACCGTCTCTACTATAATTAGAAAGAAATTATTGGCCAACAATATATATAGAAAAATTAGCGGGCATGGGGTACATGCCTGTAGTCCAGCTACTTGGGAGGCTGAGGCAGAGGATCGCTTGAGCCAGGAGTTTGAGGTTGCGTGAGCTAGGCTGACGCCACGGCCATCACTCCTAGCCTAGGCAACAAGTGAAACACTGTCTATATATATATATAATAATATAAGATAAATAAAATAAATATAAATAAAAATAAATAAAAAAATAGCCAGGCATGGTGGTGCATGCCTGTAGTCTCAGCTACTTGGAAGGCTGAGGCAGGAGGTTCACCAGAGCCCAGGTTTGAGGTTACTGTGAGCTAGGCTGACGCCATGGCACTCTAGCCTGGGCAACAGAGAGAGACTGTCTCAAAAAAAAAAGAGAACATGAGTGTGGGTATCTAAAATCTCTGTACTGAACGAACTAGTTATTTATTAAATGGTAAATATAGCTTGCATCTTTGCCTGAGAGCCCTGAAAGAAAATGAGAGTAGAACAGGGGAAAATAACTTAGTAGGTAAGAATGAGACCTTCATCTCAAAGGAGAACGACCTCATACTTTCTCTGAATGTTAATTTTCCAAACTTCAAAATGAGGATGAGAGACTATGAAATAACAGACCTTTGATGATCAACATGCAGGTACATACAACAATGCCTGTTCCCCAGCCCAGCCATTACTTGGCAGTCTCACCTCTAATGGCAGGTAGGTATGCTTTTGTTCCTGGCCAACTTGCAGGCATGGCAGGTGGGGATACTTGAGCTGAAGATTATATTTCTGTTTGAAATACTGTGCCACTGTGCACTCCACAGTCTGTCCACTCTCCAGCTGCAAGGGAAATCTGTTGGAGGAAGGCAAGGAGGTGTCATAACCCAGCATTCAATCCCACCTCTCTAGACCCACAACTATTGGAAGCCCTAGACTTTACATCATCCTTCCCAACATCTCTGAGATTGCCACTCATGGGAAACCAGGCAATACAGGTGTCCAAGACAGAAGTGAAAGGTTTAAAAGAAAAATCCACAAAAGTCAGGACCATATCTGACTCATCTACATTTCTAACGTTGAGCATAAAACCTGACATAGAGTAGGCACTCATGATCCAGTGTGGCCTGAGGTTATGAATGGGGATGGAATGAGTGACAATCTCCCCAAGGAGCTCAGGAGCCTGGCTTTTTTTTTTTTTTTCTTCAGAAGAAAGAATAAATTGAGAGATATGGTAACATTTACATAACCATAACAGGAATCAGGGGAACATGCCTGCTCTATAGTAAATGCTCAAAGAAGAATGCAGATCAAGAAGGTAAAAATGGTAGACATAGTATCAGCAGATCTGGGAAGGCTGAGGGAAGGATGCCAAATTCACACAGCTTATCTCTGAAAACAGGGCCAGCCCAAGGGTCATTCTGAGGGCCAGTGGAGGTGGGGCAGAGGAGGGGTGGTGAGTCGGAAAGCTCAATCCTCTTCCAGCAATGAAGTATGGCTCAGCAGCCCTGCCAACTTACGTCTGATGGCTAGCAGGGCGACGGGTAACATTACACACACGGTATTTCCTCTTCATCTGTCCACAGTGGGTCACTTCTACCTTCAGACCTGAGATACACACACTGCTTGTCAGGGTTGGAATAGGTTGCTCATTTGCCCAGGTTTGGCCTCTCCCCTGAACATATCCCAAGGGGATTTCCTCTTACAGCTAAAGAGAAAGTAGTGCTGTTTCCCTTCCCCGCTTAGTTTGGTCCTCACCTTTGATCTCCTTGGTGAAGCGAACGCGCTGAGAGTCTGTGAGGGGCTTGGGCTGCTCATCTATGTTCCTGATGTCCAGCACCTCACACATGAACTCAATCACTGGCTGTGCCTTGTAGAAGGCAGTGGCTGAGACTGTGGGGATAGGGTAGTAATAGCAGCTCAGGTTCTGTCTTCCAGAATAAATGGAGGCACTGTAATTTATACCCTCTTCCTTATAGGGTATTGGGATGGGGGCAGGGGGTGCCAGGGCTGTAGGAATTAGACTAGGAGTATGGTTACAGAGCTGGGAGGGATGAGGCTGGGAGTGTGGTGGCTGGACTTGGGGTGCCCCTGGCTCCATAGCTCTCCCCACTCACCATCAATGTTGAGCATCATCTTCCACATGGCAGGGCGCACAGACTGGTGAAAGCCGAACCAGACCTCGCGCCCACCCCCCAGCGGGTGGTAGTAGCCCTCAGGCGGTGAGAAGAAGGAGCGGCCCACAGGGGTGTACCTGGCAGGGACAGGCAGAGAACTGGTCCCTCGGGCACAGGCCCCCACCCTGTGAGGCATCCTGGGCACGGAGGAGCCCTGGCCTGGAAGGCAGGACACCAGGGCTTTAATGCCAGCTCCAATCCTTTACTAGTTGTATGACTGACCTTGTACAAATTTCTACCTTTTCTCTGCCATGCAGGGACAAATGGGGTGAGGCCCAAAGATATCTAAGAAGTTCAGGGCCAGAGCTTTAAACAATCTAAATGTATATGCACACTTGCCTGGCAAATGGTAGGGCTTCAAATAATTTTTTGTTAAATGGCACACTGTGGGACCTTAATATGAGCTCATTCCCCTCCTCCCGAAACAGCAGTTCTGGCAACACTAGCACCCCAGACACTAACTACACCCAATACCTCATAGATGCCAGGTGCCTCATGGCCACATCCAGGGCTTGCACAGACTCCAGGGGAACAGGGATCTGGCCACTGACCAGGGCCTCATGCAGCATGCGCCAGCTCACAATGGCTAGCCACTTGATGGACACCTTAAAGATTCGATCCTTCCCTTCCCCAGGGATTGTCACCTCAAAGTCGACCTTCAGGAGGGTGAGAGAAAGGGGTAAAGGATTACATTGCTTTCCCACAGGCCAGCATTCCTTGCCTTGTCCGAATGATCCCCTATTCCATGGATTTGCCAAGAATATGCTCCTCAGTTGATACACGCTCACAATGAAGTCTCCAAAGTAAACCTAACCCCTTAGTTTCCAGCCACCTTGGAAGTTTGCAACCACCTCAGTGCTTCTGTTCCTCTCAACCACCTTTCAACCCAGTAGCAAGTCCTTTAGGTCTATTTTAAGTTTAATCTCAGTATATTTAGGATAAGGACAGGCACATAAGAGACTGAATAAACATCAGCACCTACCCACCCCTCACCCTAAAACACTTTCTGTGCACAGAAGATGAAAAGGCTCTCTGGATGGCCAGACTCCGAGTAGGCTTACATGAGCTTTGTTCCACCCTGTACCCCTGACACAGGTCTAGCCTGACTCCCAACCTTACCCGTTCATTGCCAATGGGCAGCGCTGTGACAGTGTAAATGTTCTTCTTTCCATCATACACGGGCTTGCGATCACCAAATATCTGAGGCTTGAAATGCTGGACCATGTATTCCACCACTTCCCTGTGGGGGATAGGAGTGGCCTGTGGAAGCTGAGACTACCACTTCAAGCTTTTGGAAATAATTCAAAGTCCTGGTGATGTCCCATCTATTATACTCACTCCTAACATCTATTCTATGGCAGTGCTTCTCAAACTTCCACATTCCTATGAGTCACCTGGAGATTTTATTAAAATGTAGCTTCTAATTCAGCAGATCTAGAGCAAAGCCTGAAACTCTTCACTTCTAACATGCTCCCAGGTGATGGTGCTGGTCCTCAGATCACCAAGGCTCTACGGGACCTGCAAAAGCGGACGTGAGCGCCCTCTGAGAAAACGGAGAGGCTGAGGGGAAACGGGTTTGATCCCAGGGTCTATCAAGAATCAGGAAGAGGCCAGACGTGGTGGCTCACGCCTGTATTGCTAGCACTCTGGGAGGCCGAGGCGGGAGGATTGCTCAAGGTCAGGAGTTCAAAACCAGCCTGAGCAAGAGCGAGACCCTATCTCTACTAAAAACAGAAAGAAATTAATTGGCCAACTAAAAATATATAGAAAAAATCAGCCGGGCATGGTGGCACATGCCTGTAGTCCCAGCTACTTGGGAGGCTGAGGCAGAAGGATTGCTTGAGCCCAGGACTTTGAGGTTGCTGTGAGCTAGGCTGACGCCGCAGCACTCTAGCCTGGGCAACAGAGTGAGACTCTGTCTCAAAAAAAAGAATCAGGAAGAGAATCCAGATTGTTCCAATCTCCAATCCCCAATCTGATAAGCAAAACAGGAATGAGATCTAAACTGGAATAATAAACTGCAAAAGAAAACTTCATCTCTTTCATCTCTCTGAAGCCCTTAGTATCACTAAAATGTTTTCTCTCTATTATCATCTCTTATTTGATTTCACTCCCTGTCCCCTCCCACTTAGATCACAGAGTGTTCATCATTCCTTCAAACTTCCAGTTCATGCAACCAACTGACCTCTCCACTTTTTAAATCAAAAGTCTTGAATATTACTGGATAAACAGTATATAAGGAGCAACTATAATCACATGGTTTCCATTCCATTAGGCTTCAGTGCTGCCCAGCAATCTCATTTCAAGTCCCTGATTACTCCCATCCCTTACAGACTGTGTTGAACCATCTCCACTATCCTTTAACTCCAGAATTCATTCCTGCTTCCTATCAGGAAGTAGCTTTATCTCTGTAAAGAACAGAAGATAGTATTCAAGGCCATCTTGAATTCCCAGACATACAAACATATTTATATGTGCATGTGTCTTTTTATCTTCCTTTCCTCTCACATTTGAAATGCCCCTTCCATGTATTATTTTTAAATATAAGAAACTATGTTCAACTTCACTTATTAGAAAAATACAATTTAAAATTAGACCAAGATATAATTATCTACTTATCAGAATATCAAGATTAAAAAAAATCTTATATATTGGATTGGTACAGGTACGGGGAACAGGCACTGATACCCTGTTGATAGAAGTTTAAATAGGTACAACTTACCTTTAAAAGTGTTTGCAATCTGAAAACTTCAAAATGTATTGTGCCAGCAATCCCACTCCTAGGAATTTATCTTACAGATACACTCATCTTTGAGTGCAAAAATGTATCTCTATATAATATTTAACAGTTTCATTTTTGTAGCAGAAGTTAGATTCAACGTCAATGTTCCTCAACAGATTTATTAAATAGGTTATAATACAGCCATTGAATGGAATACCTATGGAGCTATGCAAAAGAATGAGGCAGATCTATATGTACTGATATATATTATTTTCCAAAATATATTGTTTAGTGGAAAAATGCAAGACACAGAACAAGGTATATAGAAATCTATATTTTGTGCATTTAAAAAAATGTTATATATGCATACATGCTTACATACACATAGAAAAATATCTGGAAGCATACTCAAGAATGGTAACAATTAATGCCTCTAGGGAAACGACTGAGGCCGGGTACGGTGGCTCACGCCTGTAATCCTAGCACTCTGGGAGGCTGAGGCGGGCGGATTGCTCGAGGTCAGGAGTTCGAAACCAGCCTGAGCAAGAGCGAGACCACGTCTCTACTATAAATAGAAAGAAATTAATTGGCCAACTAATATATAGAAAAAATCAGCCGGGCATGGTGGCGCATGCCTGTAGTCCCAGCTACTCGGGAGGCTGAGGCAGGAGGATTGCCTGAGCCCAGGAGATTGAGGTTGCTGTGAGCTAGGCTGATGCCACGGCACTCACTCTAGCCTGGGCAAAAAGTGAGACTCTGTCTCAAAAAAAAAAAAAAAAAAAAAGAACTAGGGGACTGGAAGACCAGGATAAGAAGGAGATGTTCTTCATCACTCTTTTTGTAATACCTGAATTTTTTCTATATTGTACAAATAGTTTTCAAATAATCATAAAATTAATTAATTTTAGTAAGAAATATTGCTTCTTCTAAGGCTAATCCCTCCAACTACACATCCTACCATGTCCTCCTGCCTCATCAAGAACATCCAACTCTTAATCCTCCCCTCTCTGTCCTATACCTTTAACCTCTCCTTCTCTATTAGCTCCTCCTTGATCATGCCCATGTATCATTCTTGGAAACCATTCATTCATTTCAACAAATATTGGAATGTGCTAAGCACTGTATTTGACCCCTAAGTCCTCTTGAGCCAACAATAATATTCCCTCTCTCCCCACTTCACTACCAAGCTATCTAGAAAAAGCTATCTGCTCTCACTATTTCTATCATATAACCTTCCACTTATTCCTTAACTCACTATAGTAAGATTAACTAGCCCAACTGCTCCACTGAAACTGCTCTGGCAAAAGCCACCAATTATATTCTAATAGCCAAATCCAACTATATTTTTCAGCATTTACTTGGTATCTTGTCCTCAAAAACTTTCTTGGATTTGGTGATACTACCCTCTACTGGTTTTTCTTTTTACCTTTCTGGCCCCTCTTTCAAGGTTCTGAAACTCAGGAAAACAAAGACTCCTGGACTTGGTGGCCTAGACGTGCATCACTTACCGGTTGACTCTGCGGGGACACTTATCAGGCTTGATGTCCACCTCGTAGTGGTAGACGTCGATCTTAGGGATGTCCACCTCAAAGTAATTGGCCAGGAGCTTGATTGGTTTCCCCACAGTGCCAATGCCAGGCCGGCGAGGTGCCTGGAACACCTGCTGCAGGGGGGGCAGGTAGGCACCTGCAGCTACAAGACAAAAAGGCTGGTGAGGGTAAAGTCTGGCAATCTCCTAACTACTCTGATCAGAGAAGGCAAAAGGCCCCTGAGAACAGAAACAGGAGAACATAGAGAAAACCTCTTTCCTGCTACCCAGCCCAGCTGAGGGCTTCCATTAGCTCAGACATCCAGGTTCATCTGTGTTTTGGGGTTTTTTTGTGTGTGTTTTTAAACTTCTCTCCAGTTAGAAAAATTACTGTTGTCATCTATTTTAAATTCATCAAGTGAATATGTAATAAGTTCCTATTACATATAAGCAGAGAGGCTAAATCTGGTTCCCAATAACAAAACCCTTTTTCCCTTCTACAAGACTAAGACACCTACCTCCACCAGGTATCTAACAGTCCAAGAATGCCCTATTCTCTGCTAGCCAGATGCTCACTTCATTCATCATCATCTTGAACATAAAAACCTTGATGCTCCTTTGAATGTAGGCAGGAGGAAGAACCAAAGGCCAGGTTGGGGGCATTGGGGGTAGGTTTGAGATAGGATTAAAGCAACTGAATGGCTGGGGTTAGAGAGACAGAAAAGAAGAAGCTGGACCCGTGGTTGCTCACATCTGTAGTCTCAGCTACTTGGGAGGCTGAGGTGGGAGGATTGCATGAAGCCAGGAGTTCATAACCAGCCTGGGCAACATAGCAAGATCTCATCCCTAAAAAAAAATTTTTTAATAAAAATTAAAAAAAATAAAATAAAAAAGAAAAGACTGGCCGGGCATGGTGGCTCACGCCTGTAATCCTAGCACTCTGGGAGGCCGAGGTGGGTGGATTGCTTGAGGTCAGGAGTTCGAAACCAGCCTGAGCTAGAGCGAGACCCCGTCTCTACTATAAATAGAAAGAAATTAATTGGCCAACTAATATATATTTAAAAAAATTAGCCAGGCATGGTGGTGTATGCCTGTAGTCCCAGCTACTGGGGAGGCTGAGGCAGCAGGATTGCTTGAGCCAAGGAGTTTGAGGTTGCTGTGAGCTAGGCTGACGCCACGGCACTCACTCTAGCCTGGGCAACAAAGTGAGACTCTGTCTCAAAAAAAAAAAAAAAAGAAAAGAAAAGACTAAAAGGTTAGAGTTTGGAGGAGAGAGGCTAAAGTAGGAGACTGGAGAAGAAGCCAGAACTGAAGGTCACAGCAGGAAAAAAGCTTGAATTGGCCAGGGAAAGGAGGGAAGGCTGGAGTTAGGGGTTGGGGCAAGATTAATTTAGAGTTAGAGGACAGGAGGAAACAGGCTGGGCAGGAGGAAACAGGCTAGGGCAGGAGGAAACAGGCTGCAACTGGGGAGATAATGATGAGAAAAAGCTTGAATGAAGAAAAAGGGGGTTGGGAAAGGAGAGGTAGCAAGCAAAATGCTGAAGAAGGAAGAGACACTACCTTTGGGAAGAAGAATATAAGATTCTCCCTAGCACTTTGGGAGGCTGAGGCGGGCGGATCGCTCAAGGTCAGGAGTTCGAAACAAGCCTGAGCGAGACCCCGTCTCTACCAAAAATAGAAAGAAATTAATTGGCCAACTAATATATATTTAAAAAATTAGCCAGGCATGGTGGTGTATGCCTGTAGTCCCAGCTACTGGGGAGGCTGAGGCAGCAGGATTGCTTGAGCCAAGGAGTTTGAGGTTGCTGTGAGCTAGGCTGACGCCATGGCACTCTAGCCTGGGCAACAAAGTGAGACTCTGTCTCAAAAAAAAAAAAAAAAAAAAAAGATTCTCCCCAAACCCCACAGATCCTTACACACAGAGAGACCAGATAGTAGCAAAAGGCAACAATTTCAAGACTGAGGGGGCCCTTGGGAAAGGCTCGGGCAGGGCCAGCTCTAGCAACTTTCTCCTCTCTTGCTCGTCTGATTGCTGCCCCCAGTCTTATTTTTTTAGCTTTCGGGGACAGAAAAAAGGGAAACAGCCTAAGAGAAGCCTTTGTTCTCTGCTACTATTGTCCTTAGCAGAAGACCAACCTAGGTAGGAGGAGAAAGAGATAAACCAGCCCAGGACCTCCAATTACCAGAGCTCAGCTTTCACAGTCAGATAGGCTGGAGGTGGGGGATGGGGCATATACTCAGCTGGGGGGTCAAGAAGAGGTCAGAACCATTCATGGGAGGGGCATCCTTTCCAGAGCTAAGCTGTACTACTGTCTCCCTCTAACCACCTGTCAAGCTCAGCCCTACTCTGCAGACAGGGAAATGGAGGCCCAGCCTGGGGGGAAAAGGTCTTCAGAACTCAGCTTCATGAGGAAATGAAAGCCTAACTACTGGAACCTGGCCACCTACCCCAGAAAAAGCTGGACAGAAATTGCACATAAACCCATTGACAGACATACATTCCCATCACAAACATCCACAAACTTAGACCAAGGTATGTTTACCTTTATAAACATACCCTTTACCACCTTAGACTGAGTTCTTCAAAGCCAAGGACTGTATCTGCCTTGATCACTGCTTAATCTATAGTGCCTGGCACACACACAGGAGGTGTTCATTATACAAAATGAAATGAATGAACAAACATATCCAGACACACAAGCACACACAGGACACAAACACATGAACACCCACAACTGCCCAGAAACAATTATAAACACTGCACAGGACAAGCATATATCCTTGTGGGTATAGCTTGTAAAAGACATTCTTCCCATCTTGAAGTTCTTAAATTCCATTCACCTCCTTAGCCTCTCAAGCTAAATAGTTATTTGGTGCCTAGGGAGAAAGACAACCCCTAGAGCTGGGGCTGGGTGGATATCACGGGGGATGGAACATACACTCTAGCCTCAAAGCCTTCTCTTTCCCAGAAATAGGACTACACAACAGTCTTAGCCTTAGAACACCTTCCTCTTCAAGGAAGCGTTGGGAAAACAGGGGAACCCACATCCCCACTTCATCCCTGAACTAGGGAAGGCTGGAGGACATGGGACTCTGTCTCCCATTTCATTCCCCTGAAAACCTAACAGCAGTACAAAGTCACCCCCACCCCTTATCCCAGCTCTTAGCCTGAGAAAGGGAGACTCTTCCCTTCAGACCCAGACAGGGACAGACGGCCACTTTGTGATGCAGATGAGGGCCCCAGCACAGAGGACAAAGCTTGGGCCTAGAGGGAAAGGGGCGGGGCCCTTCTCGTCAGACAAAAGCAAGGAGGGAGGGTCTCTGTAAAGGACACTCCCCCTCCCCCATCCCCAACCACCACAGAGAAGGAAAAGTTACAGAGCTGGAAGCCCTGGCTCAGGATTCCTTCCCTGCAGTTCTGAGGCCCACATGCCTCCCAAGGAGCCAGACTGCCTATTCAAATGACACAAACTCAAGGCTAGGTTATCTAGTGGGTAAGCAAAGACTAAGAGGCCAATCTTTCCAAAAAGTATTTGTCACATGAGTATACAGAAATTATTAAATATCCACCTATGTGCTTAACAATATATGTTAACACTTGAAAGTGATTAATTAATTAACATCTATTCTGTGTCAGGGCCTATATTCTAGGTACTTGCTGGTTCCACAAATAAATCAGACACTGCCTCTACTCTAAGGGAGCACCCAGTACAGTACATGTGCTTGGAATACACTTGATTACAGAAGGCACACTTGGGCATGAGCCCAGTGAAGCCAGCAACAACACCTTAGTTTTGTGTCCTCAGGACACCACTCCTACTTCTTCCAAGAGAGTAACAGTAGGAAGGAGGCAGTTATGGGGTCTCTCCATCCTCAGCTTCCAGACTGAATTTCAATTATACCCTTTAATGAGGCAAAGCCTGTACTACTAGGCTTTTCCCAAGGCTATGACTAACTCCAGACACCAGGCTCTAGACTCTTCCCTTAAAGATTATTTCTTGTAACAACCAAAAATGTCAACTTTTTCATCACTCCAGAGCCCATTAGGAATTCATCAGGATAAAATCATTAGCAGTCTAGAGTAGGTGCCAGCTCCCAACAATCCATGTGGACCTCAGTGATCCTCCCCCTCCTGCCACTCTAGGTAGAAATAGTTTCCAGCCTAGAAAACCTGGAGTTCCTGGAACGGAGAGAGAGGAGCCTGACAAAGAGAGGAAATAGTTTGCACTGAAGTCAGTTGCTCCTTCCACTCAACCTTAGGACCATACCAGCCTCCTCAAGGTTGTCTGTTAGGGAGAAAATAGTCACTAAGTACTTATAATCACTAAATGGATGACTTGAGTGAGGTGATAGCAGCTATTTCCTTGGGGGAGGGGAAGGTTAGGTCTGGCATAAAAGATACAAATTCTTCCACCAGGAAAGTAATGAAGTTCAGTCCCAAATGGAAATCTGATTCCCATCTCCAGATCAAATGTTAGAAAGTGGTGAGAGAGGGCCTAAAGGATTCTCAGGTCCCAACTGCTCCTCCCAATACAGGATAAAACACCTAACACACAGGAGGTACCACCAGCCCATCCTTGGGAGTCCAGTCTCCTAGGGGCAGCCCTGCCTCAGTTTCTCCACTGCTCTTATCTTCTTTTCTCCTGATTGCCTGTGAATAAGACTATCACCTGGGACTCACCAGGGTGAAGGTATAAACTCCTTCCCTCCCCCAACTTGTGTGTAGCAGATAGACTAACTCAGCAAGGTTGGCTCTAATGACATTGCACTGACGGTTTCTGGGAGAAGAGAGAGGAAAAAAGAAAGATACCCAGTGAGAGATCAGAGCCATGAAAATATTCAAGTATAGAGACTGTAACCTCAAGAGAATTCAATGGAAAAGGTAATTAGCCTTGAATTAAAAGCCCCCATCTCTACTCAGTATTGGACCAGAAACTTGCAGACAACTCCTAGGTAGACCTGGTCCTGTCCTCGGTCCCTCAGTAATCAACATCTTTTCTAAGGCCTAGCTTCAAGAGGACCCGCCCCCAAAACATTGCCTGGGTCCCAGTCTTTCCTCAAGTGGCAGAAAAAGACACTTTGGCAGTATCCCTCAACCTATTCTTGGCAAATTGAGACTGAGGGGCCTCAGGGCCAAGCGTCAGAGCCCCCAGGGTGGGGGAAGGGAACCATTTCCATTTGAGCTCTGCTAGCATAACTTTAGAGAGAATGCACCCCATCAGCGCGCTCCTTTTTCCAAGCCAAACAGGGAGGGGGAGGGGTGGGGGTATTCGGACAGCCACGCCCCCACCATGTCGGGCAGCCCCTTCCAGCTGCCACCTCCGCGCATGCTCCGGCGCCTCCGCTCTGACTCCCCAGATTCACGGGGGGAATCCCAGGGCTGGGTCCCCACCCCCTGCCCCCTGACCCTCGCCTCCACGTCAGGCCCGGCTGGGGCGGAGCTCACAGCCCAGCTCTGGCGCCTTCTCCCAAGAGACATTAGCTTAGCCCAGCCCAGTTTGGCTGAGCCCCCGCCCCCAGCATGCGGTAGCTCCCAACCCATCTGTGTCGCCCCCCTCCTCTCGTGGACACCTGGAGCCCGCCCCCTGCCACCTGCCGGGCCTCTCCGTAGGCCTACCCGGATCTCCGAGAGTCCTTCCGTGCGTTCAGGCCCTTCTCCCAGACTACTTCCCACCCACAGGACTGCATATAGCCTCCTTGGACAACCGGGCCCCATCTCAGGGTTCTCTTCACATGGTTCCCCCCCGGAACTGCACACAGCCTCCTTCAAACTGAGCCCCCCATCCCATGAGAACCCCTCTCACTCAGGAACCCTTCCCTTACTCGGAAACCATGCTCTTCACGCGGGAGCGCCTTGGTCCTCGGTGCATGCACCGTCCCCCCTTCCCGGGAGCCCTTACCTGCTCCCGAGGGTCCCGCTTCCATCCCATATACCCGTGCGGAGGTCAGGCGGCCCAGAGACTGTGGAGTCCAGCGTGATGGACCTAGGTACCCCCCACTCTCGTTGCTCTGGCTCCTGGGCCGGGCTCGGCTCCCCCACCAAGCCCGGCCGCTCGCGCCGCCGCCCCCGCAGCCTCCGTTGCCGCCGCCGCCGCGGAGCTTGCAGCAGCTCCCCCTGCGAGCGCCCGGCCAGCTGCCAGTGCGCAGGCGCGACCGCCAGGCCCAGGGGGCGGACGGGAACGAGTCAAGCGGGGCGCTCCGACGGCAACAAAGGCCAATGGAGAGGGGCGGGGGCACCGGGGACCGGAGGCAGCGGCCCCTGGCGGTCACCCGTCGCCTTGCAGCCAGCGGGAGGGCTCCGGTAGAGGCGCCGCGGAATCGCGCAGTGGCGTAAGTGGGGCGGGGCGAAGGGACACCCCCTAGCAGTCTCCGGCCCAGTCTTTTTCCCCAAACAGGTCCCTCCACACCTACCCACAGCCCCCGCCCTTCCCACAGAGCCGCGTGCACACTACAGGAACCCCACCTCATTCCCAGACCCCATTACCCTCGAGAGCCCCATCGCCCAGGGGCCCTGCCTCCCACCTCTCCTCCCAATCACCCTCATCCTCAAGCCTTGGCTGCAAAGCGAGTGCCTCCGCGAAGTCTTTCTCCGTCCCTAGTCACTGAACTCACTGACGCCACCCTCTCTTCCAGGCTGGGTGCTGAGACCACAGATATGTAAGAGACCCTGCCTACCCTGGAAGATGTCACAGTCTTAAGTGCGACTACAGAGCTCTACTTGCCGGATCTGGGAAGCACCTGCCTCGACTTTCTCATCTACAGCTCACGCTTGAACTCTGTCAATCTGCCTCTACTCTCACCACGTCACTTAAACGACTTTTTGTGTTGAAATCCAAAGGATAATTTTCAATTATTTCTCCACAGTATCTGATAGTGTCTCTCCTTCCTTTTTGAGCCTTCTACGTAACTTCAGCATTTTAAGTCTCCTACTGCCTAAGTGCTCTTCAGTCTTCTTCAAGGACCCCTCTTGCTTTTGCCCCATTAAATAACTGTTCACTGTGGTTCCAAACCCACCTCTCATTCCACTCTCCAGTCTGCCCTTGAAGGTATCATCCACACTTAAGGCCCAATGGCCCAACTATCCTTCCAAATCTCTTCTTCCAGCCTTGTCTCACTCATATTTCCAAGTGTCTGCTGGACAGCTCCACCTGGATACTAGCACTTAAATTTAGAGTCTAAACCAAACCCTTTATCTTTCTGCCACAAAAGTGCTTGCCCTGTGCTTCCTGTCTCAGTGAATGGCACCTTCATGTCAGAAATGACAGTTCCTTTCTCTCCCTTGTTCTTTCTATTCAGCTGTTCACCAGGTCTTGACATGTTTACCTCCTGAACTGCTCTCACGTGACTACCTGCTATTCTGATTCTTTGTGCTAGTGCAGACCCTTATCATATCTGGCTAGAAATATCACAACCACTTCCTTGCTAGTCTCAGTGTTTCTAGGAACTCTTATTCTCCCTTCCCTTCAGTCTGTTGCAGTGATGGGCACTAAGATGTTTGAGGCCCAACTCAAACATCACTTTCCCATATTGTCATTCATATGTATTCATTCAGATGTATTTTTATGCCTGCTTTACAGTAGATCCTATGGAGAGGGCTGGAACTTAAGAGATGGACCATACCCAGTCCTGACCCAAGAGGAGATGAATTTCTGACACTTTTCAAAACATGCCTCTCTTCTGCATCAGCAGAGGTTCTCAAACAACCACTGTAAGAACCTCCTGGAAAGCTTCTTTTAACACTGACTGCCGAGCCCTGCCTCCAGTGTTTGTGATTTAGTAGATCTTGGATGGGACCCAAGAATGTGTGTTTCTAACAAGTTCCAGGTGAGGATGCTGCTGCTGATCTGAGAACTACATTTTGAGAAATACTCCTCTACAGTATAAAGTAGTGGTTACGAACAAAGACTCTAGAGTCAGATTGTCTTGGTTTCAATCCTGGCCCTGCCATTTACTAGTTGTACAACATCTGGCAAATTATTTAACTTCTCTGTGTCTCAATTTCCTCCTCTGTAAAATGATAATAATAGTATCTACTTCACTGGGCTGTTGTGAAGATTAAATGAGTTGATATATAAAAAGACTTTAGAACAGTACCAAAAGAATGCAATTAAAGTATTAGCTGCTATCATTATCTGCTTCTCACACTATAGTCTGTTCCCTAAAGACAGGGACAATATCAGATACATTTCTGTCCCCCTTTAGTTCCTAGCATAAACTATGCCGAGAATGATCAGTAAATTGGGGTTTACCTGAATCAAAGAGATGGCATCCAAAAACTGTTAGAAATAGTAAGACCTCTGCATGGTAGCCCATGCTGGGCTTGGGAGCTCAGCATTCCATTAGAAGAGTTTGACTCCCCTGTTCTAAATGCTCAGCCTTATACTTAACTTTGTGGAAAGGCACTGATCACTATTCTGACCAATCTCCAAAGTGGCTAGTGGAGTCAAGCCTGGCCCCTGCCTCTCAGGGTCTTTCTGCACAGTGCCCCCATCATAAGGGATCTACTCTTGGCTAGGCAAAGTGGTAGAACAAAAAGGAAACCAGGTAGCATTTTGCTTTTTTATACTGACAAACTTCTTCCAGTAGCTCTTGATCTATGTTCCCAGAATATCTATTGGCTCCTTCTGGTTCCAGTTTAATCCTTCCATCTCAGTCCATAACTAACTCACACCTAAGGGCCTCTGCTGTGTAGGTCAGAGCCCTCTATCTATACAGAATATACAGCCCTCTATCTATACAGCCCTCTATCTATACAGCCCTCTTTCTCTACAGAATTTCCTAGAGCCAAAACAATAAGAATGGCCTGAAAAAAATTTTCCATCCCTACCTATATTTTCCTTTTTCTTTTTTTTATATTTTCCTCTTTTAATATTTAAAAGAACAGCATGGGAACAAAGAATCAATGTAGTATAATTAATAGACTAAGTAAGTAGAAAAATTCAAGAAAACAAGAAAAATCTGTAGCATTCACTGCTGGTACCAGTAATAACTAGAAACTATGATGATAAAATCGAATTCAAAATCTTTAAAGTAAACTTCATGGGATATTTGTGATCTATATATGAGAAAATATGCAAAAACCAATAAGACATTTAAAAAAGCCAGACACAGTGGCTCACACCTGTTACTCTAGTACTTTGGGAGGCCAAGGCAGGAGGATCACTTGAGGCCAGGAGTTCAAGACCAGCCTGTACAATAGCAAGACCCTGTCTCTACAAAAAATAGAAAAAATTAGCCAGATGTGATGGAGCACACCTATAGTCTCAACTACTCAGGAGGCTAAAACAGGAGGAACAACTGAGCCCAGGAGTTTGAGGTTGCATTGAGCTATGGTTGTGCCATTGCACTCTACCCCAAGCAACAGAGCAAGACCCTATCAAAAGAAAAGAAAAGAAAGAAAAGAGTCATGGCAGGAGGATCACTTGAGGTTAGGAGTTCAAGACCAGCCTGAGCAAGAGTGAGATCCCATCTTTAAAGAAAATAAAATTAAATTTAAAAAGAAAGAAGAAAAGAAAGGAAGAAGAGGAGGAAAAAGGAGGGGAAGGGAGGGGAGGGGAGGGGAAAGAGGGAGGAGTGGGATGGGGAAAGGGGAGGAAGGAAGAAAGAGAGAGAGAGAGAAATCTTTTTTTTTTTTTTTTTTTTTTTGGAGACAGCAGAGTCTGCTTTCTTGTCCAGGCCTAGGATTGATGCCGTCGGCGAGCAGGCCTAGCTCACAGCAACCTCAAACTCCGGCTCAAGCATCCTTCCTGCCTCAAGCTCCCCAAGTACTGGGACTCCGGCTAGCGCCACACATGCCCGGCTGATTTTTATATATTATATATTAGTTGGCCAATTAATTTCTTTCTATTTTTGGGTCTTGCTCTTGCTCAGGCTGGTTTTGAACTCCTGACCTTGAGCAATCCGCCCGCCTCGGCCTCCCAGAGTGCTAGGATTACAGGCGTTGAGCCACCGCGCCCGGCCTGAGAGAGAGAAATCTAAGTAGAGAGAGAGGCCAAGTTGTTCCTGGATGGAAAAACTAAATAATGTAATTATGTCTACTGTACACTTGCTACTACAGCCCCCAAGTTCTGAGAATGAGCATCAGGTAAACCCTACCATACCCATCCCTATGTATTATGTTCCCAAAAGTACAAAGATATAAGGATAAAATCAAGCTAGTCCCTACCCCTGAGAAAAGACAAATACATAGAGCAGTGCTGTCCAACATAAGTATGATATGAGATATGTAATTTTAGAATTTCTACTAACCACATTATAAAAAGTGAAAAAGAAACAGGTGAGATTAATTTTAATATATTTTATTTAACCCCCAAATAACATACCATCAATTTAAAAGTTATTAATATTTTACATTCTTTTTAATGTAAGTATAAAATTCAGTGTGTATTTTATTATTTTCTTCTTAAGAATCAACAGTGTGTATTTTATACATAACATACCTCAATTCAGACTAGCCACATTTCAAATGCCTAATATATATGGTTAGTGGCTACTGGACTGGGTAGACGGTAATTTCAATGCAGCTTTGAGTGTAATGACAGAGGCACATAGGTGACATGGAAACTAAGAGGGAGTATGACTAATCTAGTCTGGGATAATCAGAGTAGGTTACCTGGAGAAGAGACCTATTTAAACAGGCCTATGAGGATGAGCAGGAATTAGGCAAAGGAGGGATGGGAGAAAAATGTACTAAGCAGCATTAGCAGAAGGTATGAGGGTAAAAAAACAGCACATATTCCAGGAACTATCAGTAATATTCTAGCATAAAGATGGAAGCAAGTTGAGCAGTACAGCTTATCTTGAGTAAAAGAGAAAAAAAAAAAAAAAAAGATGGAAGCAAGTAGTGAGAAGAGGCTAGAGAAGTATACCATAACCAACTCTGCCCATTCTCTCCCTAGTCCAAGCTAGGGGAGGGACAGTAAAGGCGACAGGTGGAGCTGTCCCTGGTTCTGACACCCAAGGCAGATTCACACTGTAGTTTCACACAGATTCACAGTTCCACCCAGCCTAGAACTGAACAGACCCAGATCAAGTCTATTTTCCTATGTCTTCTGTAGCACACATGGAGGCCCCAAAACCCTAAACTTAGCCTGGCAGAACAGGAGAGCCTAGAAGCTTTTGACAGGCTGCCGCAGAGTGGGTTGGAGAATCTAAGAAACATTCAAGTCTAGAAACAGAACTGTAGGACACTGAAGTTTAGGGTCATGTATAACCAGGAACAAAAACATAAAAAAAAAAAAGAATAAAAAAGCAAAAAAGATATGACCAGAAATGGTGTCCTCCCTGAAATAGAGGTATATCTATATCTGCTATACTAAATGAACCCCAAAGATGATAGTCAACCTGAGATGTCCTATCTTGACCCCTTTGAGAATGTGAACTAGCAATTCAACTTTCAACCCAGAATCTATCTGGGTGGATAATACCAAGCTGCTGATTAGTGGAACTGACAGGGGCAGAATTAACTCCTATAATCTTTCTTCACCTCCATTAATCCATGAGGGGGCTCAATGTAAAAATATTTACAATAAACATGGCCTCAGAATATCAGGCTGGGCGTGGTAATCCTCACGCCTGTAATCCTAGCACTCTGGGAGGCCAAGGCGGAAGGCTCCATTGAGCTCAGGAGTTTGAGACCAGTCTGAGCAAGAGTGAGACCCCGTCTCTCCTAAAAATAGAAAAATTAGCTGGGTGTGGTGGCAGGCACCTGTAGTCTCAGCCAGCTACTTGGATGGCTGAGGCAGGAGGATCACTTGAGCCTAGGAGTTTGAGGTTGCTATGAGTTAGGCTGATGTCAGTCATAGCACTCTAGCCTGGGCAACAGAGTGAAA